TTCATCGTCTTTCTAAATTTTAACGCGTCTTAGGGCCGTAGTGCGGTAGTGACACTTTTCCGGACATGGGTCCCTATACTCAAATGTTTTCTACTGTTGCACTGAATAACCCCTAGAAGTTTGATCCCATAGTTCTGAAACACCCTGTATATAATACACACGTACCACCGGATATACGCGTCGTCGGATTAAAGGCGGCGGAAGAAACGCCGCGAAATAAAGCGCAAAATCGTCATTTGGAGAGATTCGACTTGACCGTTGTTCCAGGAGGTCGTTTCAGGAGGAAGAATCGAGGTAATGGCCGGCACAGCTCGGCAACTGACAGCGACGTCGGGGTCGGATTATTGCGGAGAGAGAATAACGTTAGAGTGTTAATACCAATTTTAATCGCTTGTCGTAAAGACGATGCGCGCGCGCGCGCAACTATAACGCACCCGACCGGAGATTCGCGTTTGGCAATAAAGATGCTTTTATTAAATCTCACCCGGCTGGCTGTACTACGCTCCCTTTCGCGTCTCCCGCGCACCACCATCGGGCGAACCACTCTCTCTCTTCTCTCACCCTCTCTCTCTCTCTCTCCTCTCTTGCTTCTGCTGTTGGTTTATGACCAACGTTTCTTTCTGCTTCTTTATGGAGATCGTGACGTCTCAAAAGACAGCGACGTCGTCTTTGTCGCGCCGACTTTATTGTCTCTCTTTTTCTCTCTCTCTCTCTCTCTCTTTCTGTCTTTGTACGTGTCGACAGCGAGCACATTGTGAACCGGTCGCCGTGAAACGGCGGGAGGCAATTTTTGTCAACTACCGAATGACAGGTTCGGTCTCGGTCTCGAGATTTATGCGTTGGCTACCAATAACTTTGATATCTCTTTATTGAGGCGATTTGCAAGAACCTTTGTCTCTACGAAAAAATACCGGTATTATAATATTCTGCAACTGTAATTTACCAAACTCCAGAAAAAAATTTAATTTCTGACATATTTTGTTTTTTTTTTTTATATCTGCTATAAGTGTATCGTTCTGATGACGAAATTGAAGCAAGATTGTTTTTGTCGCGATGAAATTGGAGAAACGCGCGTTTTGCGCCACCGAGAGCGAACGACGAATGTATTCAGATTTTTATCGACAAATTTGCGTCGGAAAAAAGAGAGAGAGCAATAAATCGTGTTCCGTTTCTCTCCCCCCCCCCACCCCCGTCTCGTCGAGGATAAGCCGAGAGAGAGAAACTCTCGAAGGGTGAGTGAGCGTGTCTAATTCCGAGGCACATTAGATTCTATGGACGCGCGGAGAGCGAAAGCGCGCGAGCGCGAGAGATCGATAAAATCGAGTGGTCGCTCTCCGCTCAGAGATGGTAAACAAAAGCTGAAAATAAGAAAGGAAGCCCTCGTTAAACCTCATTAAAACCGGGATATAGTCATGCTCGAGGCACCCCTGAATTAATGCGGGTTGGTACGTCGAGGGGGCTAGCGCGCGCGCGTTCCCGTAGCGAGAATCGAAAGCTTCGAAAATTCATGACTCGCTTCGAGATACACGGTCCTCTGGTCCACAATGGGACATCCATAATGACGACGACGAAATCAACCACGTCAACGTGTGTGGCTATTTGACATCGCTATTTCAACAAAGACAATATATATATATATTGTATAAATTGTTGGGGATTTTGCGATGAGAAATTTAATTCCGCGTTATTACGTTATATTCAATTCTCTTCAATATAGCAATTTGAGCATATCGATCGATAGACTACGATATACTAGAATTACGACATCTTAAAAGCCATTAATGATAATGACATCGAGTCGATTGATCTCGACTGTACATCCCGCGCGTCGTTAGCTTCCACGATCGGATAAGAGTTATCCAGCTCTCCTTCGGGGATATATTCCTCAATTTAGTCAATAGGCTACTCTTTAACGACCGCCGGTAGCTAAAATGTTACATTCTGTGAACATATATATATATATATATATATATATATATATAAGCCGATCCTTGAGCGTAACGTGCTCGTCAATATTCAGCTAATCGAGTAATCATGTCGAGGATGAGAGTGCTTCTAGGAAAAGCTCGAGATGAAATATCAAGGATATATGAAGTATATGAAGAGAGAGAGAGAGAATACAACGTAACATCTTGGCGAGAGAATTTTAAATGTTTACAATTGAAAAATACAAACGTCGAGAAAAAAAAAATAAAAAAAAAAGCTCAAAGACCGCTTGAAAAGAAATGTTTACGGAGAAGAATTTCTGTGTGATCGCTCGCAGCAGTGGGAACTGGTATCACTTTACCACGTTATCATTACGGACTCGACTGTGCGCTGAAAGCGGAATGAAAGGGGCGATGGTTTCCTATAATATCGGGCGTATCGGTGACCCTAATCGAAAGATTCGCCACGCGCGGCGATAGCGGTCCGCGATCAAACGCCCGCCGGGCACACCGAGTAGGTTTGTCGGAAATGAAATATCTCGCTGGAGAATCACGAGGTTCTTCGGACCGTGAAAGATCGACAAGGCCCGTGCCTCATTTGAAGATTGTAGGGGCCACCACACATTTTTGTCGCTACCTTATGCGCCGTGTGTAGCCGTGGCTCACACGTATATATAAGCTATTATACCGCCGGGGCTTCACCGATCTCGCCCCGATCGAAGAAGATTATTCGCCTATTATGGATTCGTGACTATATCGACGACCCGACTCACCGGCACGCCGCGCCGGAACGAACATTCTTCAAATTTACGCCGAAAGCGTATCCGTTTTCGACGTCGTCATCGTCATCATCATCATCATTATCATCATCATCATCCGTATTCTCAACTGCGCCATATACTCAACCGATAATTTGCTCAGTTAGCGCGCGCGTTTCACACATCGATTGATCTTCCTAAAATTTTATGTTATATCTGTTGCGAAGAATACAAAACTTGTTCGATTTTCGCGAGTTATAAGAAAATAGTTATCGGCGTATATAATTTACAAAAAAACATTTTCTTTATCGCGCACGTATATATACAACTGATTGTGTAACGCGACAATATCGCGCGTAGTGTTTCTTCGCGCGCGCGCGAGCAGAATGAATCGCTATTTTACATTCTTTCCAGTGGAATGCCAATCGTAGCCTGTGTATAATAAACCACTACGTGTGATCACGAGGCGTCGTGGAATCGTCGAGGTTTCCAATACGTGTCTTTGAACTCGTGAGTTGAGTGGCGTTTAACATAAACTCACGTTGATAAATAACTCGAGCTTCTTTGCGCGCACCTTTCGCCACGCGTGCGGCGAAATCTCGAGGGATGTTCTCGCGGAAACGAATCAAATAATAATAATCCCGAAGAAAGAGAGCCGGCGCTAGGAGAGACACAGATCGCGCTCCCCCGTGGACAGATTTTCTTGTTCGCTCGCGGGCGTTTCGATATGGAAAACCGCGACCGTTGTGTCAATAAAAATAATTGACCGTCCGGAACTCGCGGAGGATATTTGTCTACAACGGGGAGACGTCATTTATTTCGAGGACCCTGGTCGGCAAAACAGCAAAGTGCTCACAGATAGAGCGGGAGAGAGAGAGAGAGGGAGAGAGAGAGAGAGAAATGAAGAGAGGGACTAGACAAGTTTACCTTCGTCTCCCGGAGGAAATTACCGTAGATAGAGATGATGATGCTTGCAGGGGGAATATGCATTCCCTGACCGCGCGTGCACGCGCGAATGCACGCTAATGATATTATAAATCTGAACAAACCCCTCTCTCTCCTCGATTTTGAGAATACACACGTCATTTGTAATTTTTTTCTTTTTTTTTGTTTTTTAATTTTCTCTCTCCACGGTGACGCGAGTTACAAAATGTTTCGAATTTTTCTCTCGTCAATGCGCCATTGTGAGCCATATCTCGACCCGGTACCGTGAAAAAAGATCTACATTCTATAAAAAGATCTTCTGTAAGATGATACATTTTATAAGAGCGATCTCCGATTACGTTTGAAGCCGGCGGCGTGAGTTTTTTAAACGCGTGTCTTACTACTACTTAACCCTGTATGTCTCTAATAGTTTTTTAATCCGAGTGCATCTATTACATTTTTATACTTATATTTTGTATAAATATCGTTTGAGCGAAACAATCGAGAGGGGAAACGGATATGAATTATGAATCATTTCAAGGCTGTCTCTCCCCTCTCCTTGACACATTACCGATAGAATACCGTGCATAGAATGCTATGCGAATAAAACGCCTATCGGTTTCTCGCGTAAAAAGTCGATAGACGCTTTCAGTAGTGAAAGTATTAAGATTCAAGAGCATTGTGGAAATGTAATGCGTAAAGGATAATAACGCGCGTTATTATGCTCGGAAAATCTCAGTATAATTATTTCCAATCCTCAGACAAATTTTTATTATTTTTTGCCGGACAAGAGTCGACGAACCGTTCGTAATAATTAAAAAACGATTAAATTGTTCTTAAGTGATTTTTTTGTTTTTCAACAAAATTATTCCTCATTTAGCGCCGAACGTGACTGATGTTTTTCGAAAATGATCGAAATCGAAATTTGGATCACGCATGCTCCAAAAGTGAGATTTGAAATTTTACACATGTGACTCTATTTCGCGTAATCACATGAACAAAAAAAAAAAAAAAAACTCACCACCAGTTGGCCTGTGCGCCGCTCTGCCACGCGACGATCAGCAAAGACAACACGAGCAGGTAGCTCATTGACATGACGTTGCGTGTGCGTTGCGATTCCGTGCGGGGGTACCCTCTTCTCTTTCAGAGCCGATCGCCAAATATCACGGGGGGAGTCGAATTCTTCTTCTGTCGCTTCTCAACAACTCTCGTGGAAGCGCGAAAGAGAGAGAGAGAGAGAGAGAGAGAGGAGATGGAGGATATTACGTGGCCGCGCGCGCGTTCCGTGCTGCTCCTTTCTCAGTCTCGCATTCTTACATGCGTCGCCCAAGACGAACTCCGTCTCGCATCGTTTTTTTTTTCCCCCCGTGAACAATATATATACGTAGAAGCGTGAACAGTGTAAAATAAGCGAACCGAGTCGAGAGATTCGCGAACGCGCGATCAGATCGAGAGAAACGATATTTGGTGATCGAGAGATCGAACGCGATCTCGGGGCACGCCGCGGCGATTGTGTCCGCGTCTTCCTTTCTCGTCTCACACGAGATGAGCGCTCTCCCTCGAAACGGACTCGAAAGTTCTCTCTCCAACTCCGCGCGTTCCCTTCGCGTATCTCTTCTCGATCTTACATATTTCCAGCGAGGCGCGACCGATTTTTGTGCGCGAGGCAAAAGCGGCCGCGCGCAGCAGACGAAAGTTAAGTCGTCACACGCGCTCTCGCACGACCTGTGTATGTATCAACGGTAAATCGCCGCCGCCGCCGTCGTCGTCGTCGTCGTCGAACGTTCTCTCTCTCTCTCTCTCTCTCTCGGATTCGGTTCTCACGGTCTACGTTTGAAAAAAAAATCGCGCGATCGCGAATCGGACGACCTCAAGCGGATTGGACGCCCCTTGTACGGGGGGGGGGGAGAAACTTTTAAAACGGCCGACTTTTTTTCGCGCAGAGCAAAAAACAATTGCGACAATTTGTCGGGGAAATTGTCGTCGCGCGGAGACGCACGCGAAGAGCCCGGTTACCGGATAAGACGACGCTCCGTGAACGTTCGCGTACGGACTGTGGCCGGTAGAATCACGAGGAAAAGGGCAACGGTGCTCTAACGGTGGGCGGAGTCGTCGTTCGCACGCGGCAAGCCGATTGGCCGGCGTCACCCGAAGAACCTCCGGAGGCTCCACTCGCGTTAATTAAGCATTTCGGCGCAACGTCCCGTCGCCGGTGCGAGTGCGTACGCATCTCGCTCCTCTCGCTCGCGATTCGTTCCTCCGACTCGCTTCTTCGTGGTTGAAAACGCGCGAGCGAGACCTCACGCAAGGGGGCCCCCTTTGTCCCTGGCACGAGAGAGTGAGATTTCGGAGCAAGAGGGTATGTAAAATTGTATATCGGTATTCTTGAGACGTCAGACGCATCGGCGATGACAGAACCCATGTTTGAAAAGCTTGTGGGATACCCATCGTTACGGAAGAAGGGAGACGGCGATGCAAAAGATTTCCTCATTTAAAGACTACGTAATCTTCACATTGTTTTGCCGGTTACTCTTTCAATGATGAAGGTAAAACGAAAGAAAATCTTGCAATTTATCGTATTTCTAAGGAAATAAGGATATTGTGTATGAGAGAAAGAAACAAGAAATAAAATTGCTCTCTACCTGTCACGTGAAAAACGTGGAGAGCTGATGTTGAACGTTCTGTCCGGTGCGCAAATTTGTTCAAGCGATGGAAAAGACAAATCCGTGTCTCAAATATTGAAGTTTCTGTTGACCAAATTACTCTCGACGGTTTTTAAGAAATTTCTTTTCTACCTAGAGGCATGTAAGTAAAGTAAAATAATTATGTCTAAAAACTGTCTTTGTGTTTGCAAAATCTAAACACGTGTGTGTTTTTTTTTTTTTAATTTTATTGTATCTTTTGTATAATATACGCGGTATTTATCATTTTTCAAATATTTTTTCCTTGCTATCTTTTTATATTATTATGCGACAATGAAAATATAACAGCAGTTTTCTGTTGTTATTCAATTTTGTCACGAACAGGAGTTTTCATTCAGTCGATAATGAGATATATTGTCACTTATATAATGTCGGTTTCAATACTTTTACATCTTTTTTTTTTACACAATATTTTAAATGTCATCTTCGCGTTATATCAAACTGTTTAAACAGAGTAATGCGCACTTTTGCGCTTCTGTCAAGTACGATATCATATTTCAAATAGTTTTAGTTTTAAATTAAAATATTACTTAACCACGTATAAGATATTATACTAATAATATACATTATCTATTAATAATAAAATTATATGAGCCAAAATATGGAAGTAATAATTTTCTGAACTTTTTCATCGCAGTCTGTAACAAAAATTGTCTGCTTTTATACAGAAACATTTCTGTGCAAGAAAAAAATAGAACTTGTAGTACGAAAATTTCTATACATGTTCTTCGGTGAGTTTATAAAATGTTCTTAAAACATGTTAGCTGTAAGTAAAGTTTGTTTATGATTTATATTGCAATATAATTGCAGTAGCCATACATAACAAAGTAAAACAATAGACATTTTTTATATAGTTGTAATATCGATTAATATCGATAATATTTTTTGTGATGTCGAATCTTGTGATAGAATAAATTGTTTGGTTTAAACAGAGTATACTCTCTTTGTACATAGTTTTGTGTAATCTCTGCTACACAGAACAACATCGCCATCTGCAGGACGGTGGTTGGAACAGTGTACACAAGCAACGGCTGGTAAGAAGGTTCAAAAATATTTACGCGTGTATCTTACACCATAAAAATCAAACAAATATTCTTCTTTAATAATAAGACAATAATTATAAACATATACTGGTGAAATCACAAAGTAGTTTAATAACGCACGTACAAAGGAAAACACAATACAAATTGGAAACGTGACTTAAATATGCTAAACTTTTATTTTTTTTTTTGTTGCAGATTTGTTTTTAATGTAGAATATACATATTTACAATGTCCACATGTGTGTATTCTGTTTTTGTTTAATTTCCAACATTTAGTAAAAAAAAAACTTTCGTATACAATTATTCGATATCTTTTGTGTCTTCTTCCATCCAAGAGGAATGTAACGACTCTTTTCAATAGTATTAATAATTCTTCACAATTAATACAAAAAGAAAAAAATATTAGAATAATATACAGAGCAGGAAATTGCTTCCCTGATGATAAATGTGCTTTGGCAATTTCAGTTTATACATATCAATTTGTGCTCGAAGCACAATTGTAGCACATAAACACGCCAGATAAGAAAAAAAACAAACAAAAGCAATACTCTCGTTAAATTGACATTCGATCAATTCTCGATATTAAATAATAATAAAAACAGTCAGAGGTACTATCACACTTGTCCAAAAGTAATTTGCATAGTCAGACAGATGGAAGTCCCGTCTGTGTTTGTGACGGATTGTGATATAGACTGGCCATTGCTTCCTGGAGCGCTCGCAAACACGCGAAATTCGCTTTAAAACCGCCCGCCCTTTCCGCATCGGATTCAGGACGTATATGCGAAACGTATCCGCGAGTCTGTAGTTCTCGCCAATTAGGTGGCAATGGCCCGTCCGTTTGTTGCCGAACGGGCGTGTAGGTATATAGAGGACCTTCCTCCGCTTTTGAAACAGGAACATAAGGTTGGTTTCCTCCTCCCGGAGTACCAAATTTGATACCCGTACTAAACTGAGTAATTTTAACAGCAGGAGCGGAAGAAATTTTCTCCTCCGTCTTTTGCTTCTGTATCGCGGAAGCGAAAGACTGAATAATATTTTTGGCATTCGCGTCGGAGAACGTCAGCTCGTCTATCAGAGCTTCTTTCTCGCGTATTTTCTTTTTCTTCGTCTCAACTTCCTCCTTTGCAAGTTCTATCCTCCTCTCTTCCTCTTTTTGCTTCTCCATTTCTATTATCTCCTCCAGCTCGTGCTCGCTTCTGCCGAGTTTAGATTTACTTTTCACTATTTGCTCTTTGTTATCCTTCTTATACTGTTCTATCTTCTTGTTTGTTTCAATCACATCAATGTTGTGAGTCAGATTGTATACAACGCTTTCAATTTCTTCCAAGTAATCGTTGTATTCTCTCAGCGTGGCAAAATCTTCTTCCTTTTTGTTGTAATCCCGCAAGATGCGTTTCCTTATGCTCACTTCTTTTTCGACCATAGGATCTTCGAACATTTGAACTCGAAAGTTTGTTCTTCTCAATGGAATCTTGCATTCCGGACAGGATCCCGAACCTGAATAATTTATAATTGTATAACGATAAATCTATCATTTCTTACGATTTAATCAAAATTATCAACTATAGATGATGAAAAATAAAAATCGACCAAACCTTTCAGAAACAATAAATCGACACAACTTTCGCACAATGCGTGACCGCATACATTCACCATCATTTTCAACGATGGATTTCGATATTTCGTGGTTTTGCATCGCGGACAGGCTTGATCGTCCATTTTCAGTGACAAAAATATATCAAGTCAATCTTCTTCGAATCCTATTTCTGATTTAAACTTATAGAATTTCACTTTCCAACACAAATCTGCCAACTTATCTTTTTTATATTCTCTGAAAACGATGATTATATTCTTTTATCGTGGGAATAAAAATTTTATAAATTTATCTAATAGCCAATTTGCTCTATTTATAAGCTATTTGATATATATTACAGCTGACACGCACAATACATTGTCTTTTTAAAAAGTGTTATGCGCTGCATGTATACAACTCTCTGAACATAACCTGAACCTGAACCTTGCATAACCTATAAAACGCGTGACTATTTATTGACATGAGGTCTCTGCAAGCTGAACTTCCAAGGCCGCACACCTGCGTGTCTTGTGTGTTGCTCGTACAAGAGGCGTTTGTAAATAATCACTTGGTTTGTCTGTTCAACTTACTCGAACGTATTTCTGGAAACAAAAAACTGTTTCTTTCTTTAAAGAAAAATTGAATTACATTTAAGGAGCTAAACAGAACGCATATATAATGAAAGTAATAATTTACAGTCTGACGTCTTGTACAAGGGATATAGAAGCGAAGTCAACGTCCCTGAAAATCGAGGTTTGTAGTTTTCCTCTCGAATGATCAAACTTATCGAAGTTATCGATAATATATCGATAGCGTCTTTCAATTGTATAGATTTAATTTAAAAGCATTCTCGCACGTAACTCTTGCTGTTTGTATAAATTATTTTTAAACATTTTTTTCGCTTTTTTTCTCTGTGTGTATATGTATGTGACATTATATAATAGATATGTAAAATTTTTGAATACTGCCCTTACGAAAAAGAACTACTGCCGATTACATATAAATAAAGTCAGTAATATAAATATTACTAACAATCTCACAAGAATATTATTAGATATTACAGGAATTACTGAGAATATTACTGGCAATTACACAGAATGCCAGTAATTATTTCGTATTACTGCCGTAGTTAATATATTACTGCCAGTAGTTCTTTTTCGTAAGGGTGAGAACGAACAAATTTATGAATTTATAACTGCTTGGAAAAAAAAAATAAATAAGATATATGTGCGTCAAGAAAATTCTCAATGTTAATGAAAATTTTTGGTTGTTTGCTTTTGGTTATTTTACTCTTTAGAAAATTAATACTATAATAATTTTTAGATCGAAAATTATAACAAACGCACATAGTTCTCTCCTATGTAGTATACCTCTCATATGATTTATTGGAAAATGCACGTGCACACATGTTAAAAAACATGTTAATAAGCTCATTTTCAATTTAAATTTTTGTTCCTTGTTTTATGTTTCGCCGTGACATGAAACACACGTTAATTTCCGCTTTGTTCTGCGCTGTTTTTAAATTAGTTGTAAAATAGACCGCGTAATTATTCACATTTTTTACTAATAACTTTGTGAATTGTTTTTAGGTTGTTATTAAAACCCTGTTTTAAATTAATCGTGATTAAATTTTTAATGCAATTCTCGCTCTATATAGCAAAATCAATTCATTACTTCGTTAAGTAGTTAAACTTATTTAGGAGGTCAAGTTTTACTCGCAGTCTTACGCGTGATGCGAAGCAACGTAGCGAATAGCATAGGTAGAAGGTAGTAATCTATTACGAATGGAAAAAAAAAGGTTGAGCTAATAAGCCGATTACCGATCAAAGAGATGGAACATTACTCGGATGCAGTGCGCGATTGCTATATAAAAGAAATAAATCCCTGTGCAAACAACAATGTAAAATTCACGACGAAAATATAGAACGGTACGGGGGGAAAAAAAAAACTTCCGGAAAAAATGAAAACTCAATGGACAAGCGCACAAAACATGGTCAACTCGAGCAATCGGCATCCAAACGAGGAATTCGTTTGGTGCTAAAAGTATTCGCGCGCACAAAATTTTTAAATATCTACAGTTTCCAGGATTTTAATCATTTGTAGCCGAAGAAAAATTACACAAAATTGAAATTTGTATCAAATATCGGTTTTTCTCTTTTTTTTTTTTTTTTTTTTTTTTAGTGCTGTCGGTGCTAAACGAAGTGTAATATAACAAATTTTATTATCTAATAATATCTTGTATTTCATCGCGATATTTTGGTATAAACACAAGAATGTAATAAATTTTGAAAGCAATTTACAGAACAAAATATATCGGTTTAAATCTCGAAGATTTAACTATTTCTTTTAAAAAAATATGTTTTTGGTGGAGAAAAACTGTGATATGTGAAAAGTGTGTTTGAACACTGGAATAAATTTGAACAAATCTATCGCGTAAAATACATATCCAGTATTTTACGCAATTTTCCATATTTTTCATAAATATTTCCAATATTTTAAATTGCAGATCGTTTCCAGTTATATATTTTTCGAAAGAACAAAACATTTCACTTCCGACAAGCGTAAAAAGCGATAAAAATTTTATCTCTCGCACACGCGATATTCAAATTGTTCCAATCTGCAGTGGCGTTTAAATGTGACTGTCTCTTGTGTATTTACGCAACGTGAATGTAATTCGGCGCAACAAACACAGACAGATGAACGTATAAACAGAGGAGAGAAATCTGTGTACGTTCTGAGAAATCGTCGACCAACTTGAGTCGAGCGTCTTCGTCGCGACCTTCGCAAAAAAACATAGCGTTGACGAGTTCGAGACGTAAAAAAGCAAGAGATGAATCTCGTAGGATCTCTACTGCCAAGTTTAATCGGCGCCGTAGTATCTCGGGACGGTATTCGATTCCCCGGATTCCCAGCGCGAGGGATGCTGGTGTGCGCGAAGGGAGAAATCGGCGGTACACACGTGCAGAGGAAGAGAGACGGAAACACAGAGAACAGGTGAGAGAGAGAGAAAGAAGGGGATCGGGGAAGTGGGAGAGGGATCGCGCGCGGCGATAAAACGAAGAGGGATACACGCTTGCGCCAGGGAGTATCACCCTCATCTCAGTGCACCCTTCGCGCCGAGGGGACGAGAGAGCGTGAGGGTATATACCCGAGGATAGATGGCAGGGCGTCTCTCCCGGGCCGCGCAGGCCGCGCAAAGCCGCGTTGCACGCATTGTCAGTTCTCCTCAGTTTCGCTCGGATATCCGTGGCAACGAGTGACCTTCGTGCCGATCGAGTTCGCCGATCATTCCCCTCTTTCGTCGAGAGAGAAAGAGAGAGAGAGAGAAAGAGAGAGAGAGTGAGGATTGCCGCGTGTCGATCGTCAGCGCGAGACCGGCGTTATCGGGCGTCGCGACGCGCCGGAGACACGCCTGTCGCCGAAAAAAAAGACGCGACTTCTGTGTCCGACCGAACACGCGTTTTCGTCTCGTCGGTTCTTCTATTTTCTTTCCGAAACGCGATCGAAATCTCTCTCTCTCTCTCTTTCTTAATCCGCGCCGTGTCGACGCGGGTTCTTCTTCGTTACAAAAGTACGCGTGATAGTCGCAAATCGCACGGATCGAAAAGCAAAAAAAAAGACAGTGGAATTGAATCGGGAAACCGAAAAGTTGGAAGAAAGAGAGAATATACATGAACATCCGATTTTCGCAGATTTTCGAATGACACGACGTGCGGCAATCAAGGAGCGATTTTATCGTGGACGCGATAAGACGACGAGAACCGGAGACAATAAGAAGGAGAACGGGACAATGATCCAAGGGGATGCACGTATCACGCCCCGTCGGCGCTTTTCAATTACGCGAATCTAGATCGCGTGGCCGTTAGCGAATTAAGCGGGCTCTATGCGGGTCCGAGGATGTGAAAGAGGATGCGAATAACGATCCGCCTACTGTACGATGAGAAATCGGGTCTGGATCAAATCTCGAGGCCGGAATAACGACGTAACGGTGGCATGGAGCGCGGAAGCGAGGAAAACTGGAAATCGTCGATTTATCCGATAAACGCGTCTTGACTCTCCTCGGCACGTCGTGTCAATTTTCGCTTTGTGCGAGAGAGAAATTCGCGGCCGCGTCCGCGTATATATATATATATATATATACACTGCCTGTAAAAAAACTCGATTACTTCAGAATAGATCGAGAGATCGGGAAGACGGGAATTACACACACGCGCGAGGGCACGCGCGAGAAAAGAAAAATCGATCCAGCGCATCGAAACGCGACTATGTGAAACAAAAAAAATGAGGTGTCTAATCTTGACCCTCGGTCTGCTGGTTTCGGGTGAGTTCGCGAGCATAAATCGCTTACAGAACCGGTCGTGTGTGTCGTCAATCGCGCTTACACACACATATATATATACGTGCATGCATCGCCCCGACGACACGCCAATATTCACCCCCGTCGGCGCAAAATTTGCGGCGGAAGCGGGATTCGCGTTTAGGAAAATACGATTACAAACATTCAACAGTTTCGCGAATGACGCGTATAATGAGCGATGCATAAATACGCGTTGCATTAGCGGATAATAAATTAACATAGGTAACGCAATTTTCGTCGTCAAACGCGAAAACGTTTTCATTCGATATGCAATTGTGTTGGGTATCAATCCATTTTATTGACGTATTTGCGCGTTTAAAACCGAACCGTTTTTCTCAAGAGAAACGCGCGGAAAATCCCCCCTGAGAGTTTATAAGCCCTAGTTTTACGTTTCTTTTGCCACGTTTTCGAAACAGTGCCAAAAATATATGAAGGGAATTTAAGATTCAAAACTCGAACATCGTCAGCTTTACCTTCCTTGAAAGATGTATTACTTCTGAGAATTACTGAAAAGAGCAGAATATTAAAGTCGATGAGACACACCGTTCGTCGACACGTACGTTCGCGCGACGATCGTATATATATATATATATTTCTTTTAAATAACCGCTTTAATTCGCCGTTACGTAATTAAGAGAGCAATTACGGATTGAATAACGTCACTTATATTTTCGAAGGAAAATCGCTTTATTTACGTTTCACGAGGAGATAAATACAGACAAGAACATCTCGCGTTCTCTCCGATGAGAACGATTCTCGTACTCCGAGTTTCCGTTTCGGGATATTTCCGGTTCGATTAATCCGGAACATCCGACGATAAAAAAACGGATTTTCGCGATTGCGAGAGAACTATCTCTCTTACGAGCACTAACTACTTTTCTCCTTTTCGAGAAGGTTAATGACATTAAGTGTCGCACGCGAAGCACGTACGAATCGAGCGGCGCGTAAACCGCCCCTTTTGCGTCGCGACTCACACACACACACGAGCGCGCGCGCGCGCGCACACACACACACACACGCACACGCACACACACACACACACTTTCTCATATTGAACACATTTTCCCGCTTTCGCGGGAGAAGTCGCACAACGTGATATTATGTTCGTAACCGGGGCTATACGAATACCGATACTATATCACAGCCGGGTTTAGTTAGCTCCCGAAGTTTAGTCTTGACTTTGTAATAACTTGGTCTTAACATTAGCCCCGTCCGAAATACGGGGGTTTATGCAGCAATTAACCCGAAAGTCCCGTGTACTCCGATGTAAAGAGACGGTGTAATATTACGCATAATGGCACGACAGAGCAATCAAGATACCATTCAAAATGTATGAACAAAGTTGGGCTCTTTCTACTTGTTCTCGCTCGTCATATGTGTATAAAATTCACTCCCATTAACGCGCGCAAGTGAATTCTCGTTCAAAACAATCGCGCGATATTTGATTAATATTTACATTCGTTTTGTTACCCTTTGTACGATTTTGCTTCTATATTATTCCGAAAAATCGGTTTATGTTAGTTTCGCGCTGCAGTTTCAATATACGCGACGTGAGTTCTTCATTCACATATACCAATTAAAAACTTGCTGCACGCGCCAGATGCAGAATTTTTTTTTTTTTTTTTTATACACGTGTATATATCTCAGCACTTCTATCAAGAACTTGTGTACGCGCTCTCCACGAAATTATACTGATAAAAAAATAAACGTTGTGAAATATTATCCTCTTTTTCATGTGTCGATGGTTACCGGTAATTATGCTGTTTGTTCTCTTAATTTCGCTTCACCTGCGCTGTGTTTGTCCGATTAACAAGAACCGGAGTATTACGGAAACTGGTGTATTGATTTGTTGTTTTTTTGTATTTGGGCAAAAATTTCATCGATCTGCAAACGTTATTAATTTGACGAATGTGCATTCTCGAAAATTCTTGTTTTTTTAATACCGCGATATCAGTATCATGTAAAAAATAACTGTTTTTTTGACAAAAATGCAGCATGACACAGTTTTATTCATATTTTTTTTTAAGCAAAGTCGGTCAGCGCATTTCATTTTTCCATGCGTGCTGAAACATTAGAGAAAAGGGTAAAAAATTCAAAAAAAAATTACGAAAAAAAATCTTAGTATCGCGAAATATTTTTTATTTATAAAAAATATCAATCAAAACATATACAAATAACATTGAGAACAAAATTGTAAAACAATATTATTGCTAGGTACGTTTGTTATATTGTGAGAGAGAGATTAAATATTTTGTTTTCTTTAATAAAAAAAAAAATAAAAAAAAAATAAAAAAATAAAAACAAAATTACACGAAAGATAGAAGTTTCCTCCGAAACTATTAAAGCAAGCGCCTGAACTAATATCCCGTGAGAGACTCATAAACACTCTTACGACGCGTCTAGCGTTAATATTCTTTAGTCTTGATTTAAAATTAAATTAAGATCGTGAGCTTAAGACACGGCGTGAAAATTAACTAAACCCGCAGCTAGTTGTCGCCTCTCGCTGCGAAATGAACTGAATTTATATACAGAGAGAGAGAGAGAGAGAGAGAGAGAGAGAGAGCAATAAGAAGCACGCGGGGAAATTAAATCCACTGTGCATCGCTGTAAGAGTAACTGCAGAGAGGCACCGAAGAAAACAGCCGGCAAAGAGACTCGAGGGGTGGGAAAGGGACGATGGAAATCCTGATATGTATTTTAACGGTGGGTTATGGCGGAGCGCGGCGCACAAATCCCGCACGGAAGCGAGGGGAGGTAAATATTTGCTCGCGCAAAACTACCTGTGCCTCCGCACATCCCCTTAAAGTTACCCTTTCGGAGCCGCATTTATTTTTAACGCACGATTTTCCGACGACAGTTTTATCGAATTCGAAGAAACTATGTCGCCGATATATCGCTAGGGCAAACTTCTTCCTTCTTGATTTTTTTTTCCTCGCGGTCGAGTCACGCGATGCTGCGCGTGCCACATCTCCATCTTATTCCAAATATACACGCATATACATCTTGTTGAATATCTCGTTTGTTATGTGTAAGAAGTTCTTTCAAGTTGTTACACATTTTCGCTATTAATGTTACGAAGGGGCGGGTACTCCACCGCGTCAAGTTGGCGCTTATGTACAAACGCCTGCACATTTACCCGGAGCTCGCATGTAACGTCCAACTAAAGTTACGAACTTTCCGCCCGTGAACGATGGGCCATTCACAATGTTAGGGAAACTTGATAAACGAGTAATAGAGAGTTCACGCTGTCAATTTATGATTTTCGTATTTATGAATATAACATTGTAACATAAAGCGCGCTCGCGCGATCAGTCCCCTTGTCGCGCAGGATGTGTGTGTGTGTGTGCGTGTGCGCGCTTCAAAATCGAAATGTATTTCTGCCTTGTTTGCGGGACGAAATGTTAAACATTGCGATTCAGTGTTACCATGCAAAGCGCGTGAAAAGCACTTTCAGACAAAAATAAACACGCATCGGAGTAACACGCGGATAACTTTTACAATTTGTTTTAAAACTTCCTAGTGCCGCGGAAGATTAAAAAAACATTAGAGAAAGAAGGCGAATGAAAGAGAAAAAAAAAAAAAAAAGAAACGCGAAGGGAGAAAACATGAAAGAGAGATTTTTTTTTTAGCAAAAACTTTTTACGGAAACAAAAACTACAAAATAAATCAAAGGAGAAAATGCGACCTAAAATAGAATTGATTTATAAAACATTATCATAAAAAGGAACGAAAAAGCTTTTTAAATTATGACTCGCTGCGAATGAAAAGCCCTGCGCGCGAATTAAGCTTCAGAGATAAATAATTGATGAAATATTATACTGAACGTGATGCATTTAAGAAGACTTTGGCCTGAAAGAAAATTTTAATTTTTCTTGTGTCCTGTGAGAGATATATATATTGAATATTAAAATTTAAGCAATATAGCAAGCAAATACTCTTAATCTCACTATCTTCAGCGAGAGAAAAATTATAATTTTACATTTCACAAGAACTTGAAATGCCGCATGTTTATTCTCTATCAATCTCCCGAAAGACTTTGAAGAAAAGAATACAAAAAATGTAAAACTAATGCGCCTACGATGCGCCTATTTTCTAATAACATTGCTCGCGGGAAGGAGACAATTTCGATTGCACACATTCTTTATTTCAAACAGTTGTTCTCTTTTTCTCAATCCCTACGGCAAGATGTCATCAATTTTTTTTAACCGACACGGTCTCTCTCTCTCTCTCTCTCTCTCTCTCAAGTTCTAATAGCTTTTCTTTGGTTACACAAGAAAGAACTTTTTTTGGCACAAAAAATTGTACTCTCTGATAATAGCGTTACAAAATTGCGAACTGAATATTTGACAAAACACAGCAGGTTCTCTTTCTTATTTTTAACAAAGTTAGTTTATTTTGTTTTTTAAAATATTTTTTGACCGGCGTTTACAAAAAAAACCTAAAAAAAATAAGATGATAAATTTACTTGTTCAGCGGGTTTAGGTTCGTACATTCTTTCTGCTGTGTGTGTTTCTTTTTATTTTTTCTCTCCTCCACGACATCTGAAAGATTTAGAAAAATTATTCAGTCATACACACGAAACTGCTGCGTAAACCACAAGCAGTAGTTTGTAGGTTCATGTACACACGTACAACACATTTAATTTTTATTGCTCAACGGGGAGCGGACAATAAGAGTTAAAGAACATCGTTAACTCGGGAATAATACGACTTTTTATGACGTAAACTACCGCGCCACGGCATTTTATGCCGTGTTAATAAATCGTTTTTGTTTGGCTACACGAACACGTGCACACACACACACACACAGATATACATGTACACACACTGCACAAAGACCTCGAATACAATACATACATACGTGCCTGTCCAAAAAATACTCGAAAAAACTGTTCGCGAAAAAACATCGAAAAAATTGCAACGTTCTGTCCCGCGCGTTTATCTGAGAAATAATAATTTTTTCCTTTTCACAGCGCTGTTGAAAAAAAAACAAAGAAAGATCATTAGGTCTCGATTAGAAATTAATTCCCTCCGCATTGACTGCGGGAAAGCTGAAGCTTTTTACCGATAATTCCGATAAGCTCGAATAGAACGGGCGGCAATAAATCTTCTCCCCCCCCCCCCCCCGAGAACCCGCGTCGGTGTAAATTACATCTCCGCGTGACCACCACGAGCACGACCACCGATACTGAAGAATTTCCAACCAACTTTGCTAAGATGTGCTATTGTGTTTGCTTGAAGTGCAAGGACCTGTCCGGTGCACGGCCGATCGCAGGATACACGAGAATCGCGCTTCGGAGACGCCCGATTCTTCAATACGTGGGAGACCGTACTTCGACGTCTCGGCGTCGCGCAACGTAACGGCTTTGGTCGGCAAAACGGCCACTCTCAATTGCCGAGTACGGAATTTGGGCGATCGCACGGTAAGATATCCCTCTCTCACAGAAGAAGCGGAAAGTAACACACAATGGCGTGTGTCCTTTCATCAAGTGTAACAAATCGAAATACGCGCGTGTGTTAACTTCAAAAATCGCAGCTTCGGCAAAACTCGCATCACTTTTACAAGTTTTCGTAAAGAAAAAAACAAATTTATTGTAAGTGCGGTAACCGCATATTGTCTAAAATTCTATGTTATTGTCTTGTAAAAACTTCTGCCTGAGACAAATCGAAACACGTTGTGGTGTGTTATCCAACAAAAACAAATTGCGGAACTACTGTTTGGTTTCTTCCTTACAACAGACAATTCTAATTTTGCACAGTTATTTCGCGTTATAATAAGTAATAAAGTTGAAGCACAACGCAATGTTAGTGATAATATCACAAAAGCTCTCGGTGTGGAACATAAATAAGCGTCTCCGCGGAGAGAGGGAGTGAAACTCCTCTTCTCTCGAAAGTTTATTTCAACTTCTTCTTTAAGCGAGAATTCAAGTGATGAAGTTTCAGAAAATATTCTTTTCGCCGACTGAGGAGATAAGTCCTTCCAATATCGAAGAAGTGTTCAATTTGTGTCCCCATAATATGCATTGCAGCTTGTGAGTGCCGTTTACGTTTCCGGAATATCGAAATCGACTGTCAGTGCTAAAAATATTTCCCGCCCCAATGGTACGGTTCTTCTCGTCCTGGAAACTTCCGCCATAAATGGATTGACTCAAGCACAAGCGGCGCTTCGGGAGCCAACGATTTTTAAAAAAAGCCCTTCCGGCAAATATGTAACTTATTTTTTTCTTTTTTCTTTTTTTTTTTTTTTTACAAAAGCGTCCTCTCTCTTGCAAATGTTAATGCGCTCGTTCGCCAAAAGTTTTTGTATATATTTTGTACGACACAAGTGTGACAGAGAGAGATGCGCGCGCGATTTGTTCGATATCGACGAGTAAACACGGCGTATATACGGCATTTGCTATTTTTATCGCCGTTGGCGCCATTTATAGAAGAAGTTTATGAATAAATTATAGGGTAAAGAACACCCCAAAGAAAAACGTGACTATCGACGTCTCGGAAACTAGTACGAGCCACGAAACTCAATTAGTTGCAAACTCGACACGGGTTCGTAGTTTCGCGTCCGGTCGTAGGTGTGCGGCGCGCGATGGTTTTTGTCATTACACGTATAATAAAGTTGGCTCATGACGAGATACTTTATATAAAGAACTAGAACATCTCGCAGAGAGAGAGAGAGAGAGAGAGAGAGAGAGAGAGAGAGAGAGAGAGAGAGAGAGAGAGAGAGAGAGANAGAGAGAGAGAGAGAGAGAGAGAGAGACGCGAGGACAGACAAGACCAGTAATTTTTTCTCCTTTTTTCTTTGCATCCGAGTTCGTGCGCCAGCGCGCTTGAGAGAAATTTTCGCAAAAAAAAAAACACAAAAAAAAAAAAAACAGCACATCTTTTGCATCTTTCGCGTCTGAGTTTTTGCTCACTCCGCTCGCGTCCCTATTTCGTTAACACCGTGTTTTTTATATTTTACTGGGGTACAATCTGTCTCTTTGCCGCGTCCATGCGTAGGTAGTTGAAAATTACTTTTTCACGGAGGCGGCTACAGTGAATTTTGCATTTTCCGGTCTTGGCGTTACCGTTAATGAAAAATCTATTATTTTAAGCGATAAATTAATATAAAAGAGATCATTCCCGGAAATTCTAACGACTAATAAAATTTTTCACGAAAAAGTGAGATATCGCGATTTTGGTTTCTTCAAACCACCGGCGGTGTAATTCACGATCGTTCAATGCGATTTAAGTAAAAAATTATTTTTTTACGAAATGTATGTACATTTCCCACGCGCGCGCGCGCGAGATTCACGTTAATTGCAACATTACGTTAATTATAACGAGAAATTAATTACCTCTACCGACGAATATAAAGTGGTCGGGAGAATGTGTGTTCACCGTCCAACATTTAGAAGCTCATTCTCGAATGACAACTGATTGCACTCACTAAAATTCAGATGGGTTAATTCTCCGGAAAAACGAATTATATTTTCATACGTGATTGTCGTGCACATTATCGTTATTATTACGTCATATTCTGCTTTGATGAATCAAAAAAGTATGTTTGCACACGCAAGAGCACACGTCGTCGAATCTAGTCGGAAAATTGTGCATTTACAGTCTACTGTCATATATATATATATATATATTAGAAGTAAATTCACATATTGACATTCTCGAAATGGATTTCCGAAAACTTGGGCTTTTTTGCTTGTGCGATTTTTTCGCAAATGGTCGTTGAATACGTACGTCATAATCACGATAAAAAAAAGAAGACAAGGAAAAGAGGTATGCGATAAGAAAGTTCTTGATGTGTTACCATACGCTGTGCTGGCCAGCAAAAGTATGTCGGAAATGTGAAAATTTGACATAAGTTGATAAATCGATTTTTCCACTTTAGCTTATAAGTATATTTCGTTCTCTCTCTCTCTCTCTCTCTCTGCGGGGAATCGCAAGTAGATACACAAATGTTCCACACCGTACGTACTTGGCGCTAAAAGCACAACCGCGAGATTTCTAATGTTACTGTAGGGAAGATAAATACATATTATATATATATATATATATATGTATATATGTAGGTCGACGAGACCTATACTCAAACAAATCCACGTTATTGAAGTAGACAAAGAGCGGTAAACTATGCTAACGACAATCAGCTAAACTATGCAATATGACATTGCTTTTGTTCTAGATATATTCGATGATATAAATAATATTTGAAATATTTCCTTTAATTTGCGCGGATAATTGCGCATACCAGTCTTCAAAATACTTTTGCTATTGAAATATTACCTCCTCGTTTAGATTGCGAAAGAAAAAAAAAAAGAGCGATTTTACACAAACTCGGTTCTAAATAAAAATCTTCGATTTCGCGTAAGTGTCGATTGAAATCGAGAAAAATTATTTGACTTTTGATCGAAATTAAATTTTCGACGGTTCAATTTATATCTTTTGTTCGCAATCGCATCACTTTTCGCGATCGGTATCGAAATTCAATTCATCGAGTCTTGAAAACCATTTCAACGATTAATTATTGTTTTGTGTCAGTGTGTGCAAAGGCGTTCTTGCGTTCTCGCCGCGGTCGAAATCGTACGACTTGTCGCGTATTTTTTTTATTGAGGCTCAAATCGAATACGCGCTTTTCATTAGCACCGAATCGAACGGTAACCGCGCGTCACGCGGCGAACAAAAGCCGCGTCACGGTTTCTCTTGTGCACCTTGCAACCTCTCTTCCCGCCGCTTTCCATTTCGTACTTTGGTACGCCGGGCACGCGTACAAAACTCAATGAAGTCGTTTTTATGGAAGAATACGCATTTTCGTTCTACGTGTTCGGTATTTCAATATCGGCCATATGCCACGCTAATATAATACGGCCCCGCGCCCGAGAGCACAGCCTGCGTTTACGTAAATCAATCATGCTGATCTTTCGCCACCTCTCTCCCCTCCGTGTTGAAGATCGGGCGAAATATACAATCTGTCGAATATCATCGAAAAATACCGAGATATATACGTTCAAAATATTGGAGTGATTGAAACGCGGTATGAATTTTTTAGCGGCGAGTTTTTATTTTTCGCGCCGCGTACATATATATATATACGAATACATATGAAAACGCAGATACGAGAAGCGAGCGAGATTATATATCTCCTCGCAAACGTCTGTAATATACCAAGATACAAACCTGCTGATGAAATTTATTTACCGCAATCTTTTTTTTGATCGAGTTCACGCAAAAAAAAAATCCTTTTTAAAAAGATCAATGTAGCGGCGCTTGTGTCTGTGNGGGGGGGGGGGGCGGANAAAGTCGAGCGTATCTCTTAATGAAAAGGTCTCGCCCGTTCCGGTTGGTGTTTTTTTTTTTGTTCTAGGTGTCATGGGTGAGACATCGGGATATCCATCTTCTCACCGTGGGCGTCGAAACGTACACCTCGGACCAGAGATTCGTCGCGTCGCATTTTCCCCGCACGGAGGACTGGACGTTACAAGTAAAATACCCTCAGCGACGAGATTCCGGCACATACGAGTGTCAAGTGTCTACGACGCCGCCCATAGGTCACTCCATGCTCCTCTCTGTTGTCGGTTAGTAGTTGCACAGAACATCTCTCCAGCGGCTCTCTCTCTCTCTCTCTTTCTCTTTTTCTCCCTTTCTTTTCCTCTTGTCACCCTTTTCTGTCGCTCGTTTTTTTTTTTGTTCCGTTTTTCACGCGACGGAGCGCTTTTCCGTATATATCGCGCGCGCCGTGCGCTGATTTCGTCGGAAATTCGCGCCGTATCCACTTTGCCACTTCAGGGAAGCTTAAAACCATCAACCGCTCGTGCGCTCTCGTTCCGCACGTGCATCGCGATACATGTACTCGCGCGCGCGCGGCATTTGTCGCCCCTACGCTGATTTACCGTTTATGACTTAATCATTCACCCCCGGAGTTTCTCAATGGAACACGCGACCCAAGTACGATAATTCAACACCCGTGTATACCCACGCGCCGCCGCCGATTTCCCTCGGCGCATAATATGCGTCGGTGTGCGAATTCACGCGGAAGAATTAAGTTATCGAGAAGAAAGAGGGAGAAAGAGAGAGAGAGAGAGAGAGAGAGAGAGACCGTGAGAAATCAGAATATTGATTACTTTTAAGCGTTTTTTTATGTAATGATACGTCTATTGGAAGTTGGCGCACGCGCGAAACTCGTGAGACGAAGAAGTAGTAATTTCCGTGAACTTGGCGAATTATGAATTTCTCTCATTATGCATGCTCGCTCCTTCTGCGGATGGTAAGTTTAATTCAGCTTCTCTCTCTCTCTCTAAACTCGATATTAACTTAATATTAACAAGTTAATATTAAGTCTCTTTCTCTCTCTCTCTCTCTCTCTCTCTCTCACGCATACACTCTTACTCTCAAAACTCATGTTCAAAGCAGAAATTAATCTAACAACCGAAATATACCACTGTTTTGAAAATATAAACGAAAAAAATGAATGACATAAAAAATTTTGCTGATAAATGACGTATTAGTTGTACACGTACCTACATGGCGATTTAATTAAACAATATTGATGAAAATCAATAAATAATAATAATCGATATGTTGAAATGTAATATTCGATATTGGTAATGTACGGTGTCTAAAATGTCAACTTTATTCATATTGTTGATTGTTATTAGACATATTAGATATTGAGTGTTGGTTTATTCTGTAATGTATATTGTTAATATTATGATTATTTTAACACATATAGCAACAATAGACACCAAACAAATAGCAGTATATTGGCTTCATAGAGTACAATATGGTTTCATAAAATATATATATTCATTTCATGAAATTATAATATCTCCGTCTATTGACCGTAAAATTTCTTTTTTATTGTCATAGAATTACAATTTTTGCGCTGTATCGGTTATAAATTGTCCTCGATGGTGTTAAGAATAAATTTTCGTTTAGTAAAAAAACGCCATTGTTTTTTTTTTTAAACTCAAAAATATCACAGCGAAATAAAATAGAATTGCGAAAACGAAGAGAGAAAATTTAATTAGAGGAAAACTAATTAATTAACTTGTATATATGGAGCGCAAATTTAACTTTATTATTTTTATATCATCAGTGTCGCTGAAAGATTTTATTACTTGTTATTAATCGGCAAATTATATGCTATATATTGTCATTCTATTTATATTTAAGTAAATCACGTGTTAAAAAATTTATAATATAATATCAATAAGTTTTACGAACGGTTTACGTTTAATTGAGCAAAAATTGTACTTTATAGAGCAACCAATTTTTATTGAAAACGTTTAATATATATCAGATGAATCCCAACTTCGATGAAAACTAAATTCGGAACGTGATCGCTAAAACTGAAAAATCGGAGAGTGAAAACTTTTCCATAATCGAGGTTATTTTTTTTTTAATCCAATGCAATGTGCGTTCGAATTGAAACTAAGCTCAAGCTTGAGAGGCCCCCAACTAAACTTCCGTCCATAATTCGTGAGAATTTTAAAAGCGAAATGTTTTACTTAAAACAAATAAACGATTGTTCTCTCCGTGAATTTTAATAGCTTCTACAATTCAGACTTTTTCTTTTTTTTTTTTTGATCATCGAAATATACGACTTTCCAATAATAATATTATGAAATATTGGGTCTATATATGTATATTTCTTGATATTTGTCTTTGCACAGAGCCTGTGACGATGATCATCGGAGAGCCAGAAATGTACATAAACAAGGACAGTACGATGAACTTGACTTGCATCGTGCGACACAGTCCCGAACCACCGCTGACCATTCATTGGACTCACGATCATGAGGTATGTATCCACAATATGTATATACATATTTTGTACGTGCTATTTTCGAGTATATGATACGAGCAATCCCGAAAAAAAAAAAAAAAAACGGAACAAAAAACGAGAGAATCGTCGAATTAAGTTTCCAATTATTATCTCTGTGAAATCCGCCCGCGGGAAAGTCGATAAAAGAGAATAACTCAAATCCGCAGCTTCCCTTTTCTCTTTGCGCTCTATTCACGTAATCTCTCATCTTCTTCCATCCTCATTCATATTGCAACCCGCTCGATCTGCTCTCCCGTCTTTCGGATGTGACTTTGTCTCTCAAACAAGTTCTCAAGTTTAAGGCGCTCAGGAGTTTGCGCGGAACACGGGAAAAAACTTTTAATTTTAATATTACCTGCTCAACGTTTCTTCTTGTTGAATTTTTAAATGTATGAACACACACACGCGCGCGCGCGTACCGCGGTGTCCGACTCGCGGGATCTCGTTTCTCAACTTCAAAACCTATCTCTCAGCTCTTCCCCGCTGCTCCGTTTTCTTCCCTTTGCCGCGGGTAAAGTTTCTCTGGTGTGTGCTTTATACTATACACCTCTGGTCGCATTATACAACACCTATTTCCCCGTAACCGTATCTCCGTTTTCTGTAACCCTCCCGCGCTCGCGCGCAGACTTCCACTTTAGGTCCTATATTCTTACTTTCGAGCTACCACCGACAGTTCATAGCATTAACTCTCTCTCTCTCTCTCTCTCGCTCTCGCTCTCTCCGCGGTATCTTCCCCGTGTTCCGTAACGTTCCTCTCCGATATTGCGCGCTGTGTACCCTCGTTCCTCTTTATTATCCATTCTCACTGTTTCACTATCACTTTGGTCGATACCGACTCCTCAACTTTAGAGCTTCAGAGTTTCCTAAATAAACGTTTAAAGTGTAACACGCTCGATTCAATTACGGTTTGTTTTATCAAATCTCTTACTATAGATGTATGATCTGTGTAATATATATATACTTATTGTACATTATCTCGCGAGATTTGTTGTTATGTTTACGTGGACATTTTTCGCCAGAGTAATTGGCAGAAAATTGTTTAGCAATTTTTTTTACGTAAGATTTGTTAACATAATTGTTTAATCCGGCAACTTATTACATTCAGTAGTTTGCATCAACTCGGGCGAAGCTTATATTGACTCTGTCGCTTTCAGCTTCTTTAAGAAACTAATTTATTTTCCTCTCACCGTGACTGTCTTTTTTCCCTTTGTTTCTCATTCTCACGGACTTTCCTGCAATCCGCGAACGTCCTCGCGGATTCTCCCCCGCGGGGTTCGAATCTTTCACATCCGACTCTGTCACTCTATTTCTTTTTTACTCTATTTTCCAGAATTTGACTTTTTTCCTTTCGAACCCATCCGTTTCCGCGGCTCTCGATCTCATGTAAGCTTCCGCGTCGTACGCGGAGATTTTCTCTCTGTGTTTTCTAGTTTCGTCTCGTCATTCGACTTCTATCCCCCCGTATACCGACTTTTATCCCATCCCGGCATTGTACTACTAGCCAATCCCGCCCTCGATATCCCGCGCGCGTGTTTCGCTCGGAGAACCTCCCTCGGGTGAAAAATTTGACGCGTACTATTTCTTACTAACCCCATATTTCCTGTCTGTCTCGTCGCACGCATTCCTTCCATCCCCCATGACCCAGTTAGTCCCGTCGTCTCTCCCTCTCTCCTTCGCCCGTTTGTACGGAGAATTATGCTTGTTCAGATATGCCGCGTATGTAACATAAATATCGGTAAACGCGCGATCTCGTGTACGCGATCTCGTTGGCATAATTGATTTCACATACGCGTTTATATTAACTTTGCGCCGCGCAATGTTTGCGCACGGGCTATTGTAATTACGGGACACATTTAAATATGAAAATTAAAAGAGAGAGAACATCGAAACTTTAATAACCCATCGCGGAAATAAAGTTATTGCTCGGCAAAAATCCGCGGAAAAATATACATTCGGAGAACGGCAACTCCCGACGACGTGGAGAGCAGACCCGAGCACAATCGGGTATTATTTACAGTGATAATCCGCTTTACATCCTCATTAAGAAGGCTTACACAAGACGGTTCTACTTAGGAGATAAGTTATACCGCGGATAAAACTCTCCTTCTCGCTGTGGATTATTTATATTATTCCTCTCTGAAATATCTCCGGACGCGTAGGTTTACTCGAAACTGTTGTGTATTAGATATCGTATCTCACAGATATCTCTTTCTCTTCGACAAGAAGAATATTTGTAACAAATACGAATTTCATAATTTCCAAGTGAAATTATGCCGCAACTCCGAAATACATTCATTCGCCGAGTCATACATTTTCACAATATTATGCACATGCGATTTTTTGACACGGTATTATTATGCATGTAAAAAAAATTTAAATCTACTTCCAATCAAAACCTAAAAATAAAAATAATAATAATAATAACACTCGCGTACCTGATGACGATGAGAGTAAAAAAATGGCTTTTTCAGCTCAAAGGATTTTACAACAATCACGCGTGCGTTGGAAAAAAAGTGTTCCGGCTATAAATGTAGAAAAAATACGAGCATTTATGTCAATGTCGAATGTCTACGACTTTGTGTTTTAAATTTTCAGAATTTTTGACATTTCACGGTTCGCCGATAGCACACGGCAGTCGTTGTTACATTGGAATTTGCTGACGGCATGTAGCTGTTAGTAATGGCATGTACTCATTGATGCATGTTAGATCAGTTTATATATATATATATATATATATTAATAATATCCATCAGGCTACAACTACTATGGAAAACATTTAAATTTAGTTAGACTACATTCCGACAAACCGCAAATCATAGTCAGCTAGCCAGTAGCACAGACGCAATATAGCTGATTAATAATCAAGAAGAGAAGCTGAGGAGAGTGAAAGAGAGAGAGAGAGAGAGAGAGAGAAAGCACTTCTATGACTATGACTCTCATATGATATTAAAAGAAGTGCGCAAGAGGAAAAGCAATGGCATAACTGAAAATTCTCCTATTGCGCTTTCCCTCTACGATTTTTCCACCAATAATTCTATAAAATATTCATTTCACTTTTCTATTGTCGTCTTCCCGTATACGTTTTCTTTCTCTTATCTGCATTATTAGTAATTTTTCATAACGTAACAAAATATACACTTTTAAAAAATATAAAAGATCTTTTAAAAATAAAACAAAATAAAACTGTAAACAAGAGTGTATCTTTATCGATTAAGTTAAATACATAATTATATAATATCTGTCGTATCGTAAAAAACTGAGCAAGCGATATTTCTGAAAATAATTTGGAATTATCTGTTACGCACACACACCAAAGCGTTCGAATAAACACAGAAAATCCACATTCGGTTTCTCTCTCTCTCTCTCTCTCTCTCTCTGTCTTTTTTCTCGAACGTAGAAAAATTCAGAAAAATGAAAAGCAGATAAGTTTGCTTTGTGTATCACAAGAATTTAAATAAAATATTTTGTGCTTTTATAACAACTAAAGAAAAATGAAAATATATTTTTTTCCAGTTTTTTGTGGTTTTTTTTATTGAGAATAATACGCGCACATACGCAGAAGTTTTAATATTTCTGCGCGTAAAACGCGTATGCAAACGGAATTTTTGATATTTCAGGATCATTTCGAGAAGATTTGCATGATATATTTCTCATAAATCCGAATACATAAATCACACCGATGGAAGGCTGTGAGGTATCTGTTTAACATCGTGTTTATGATGATAGGCACAAATATGCTTGTTGTTTATACAAATGGAACCTTGTAATAAATTAACATATAACTATTATTAACATATAACGGAAGATACAATTGATTATGCAATTCACTCATGTTATTATACCGCGTGTGAAATAATGACACATTTGTGAGAATCTAACGAGCGATGTATGATTTTGAAGAGAGGAGAAAGGAAGTCGCAAAAATGTTTTCATCCTGTGAAAATTTATTATCGACCTATCATTAGTCTTCATGACGACGTTATGACGTTTGTATCATTGCATACGTGCACGCGCGCGATGATATATATTTTGGTAAAAACGACAAACAATATATATTCCCGTGAATGCAGCGACAACAGCGTCTGTATTGCGTGTTAAATTGTTAAAAATATATTCTTATAAATATTAATATAAAACGCGAAAAGTAGAGAAATGAAAAAAACTTTAATAGAAATGAATTATAAATTCGTCAGAATGAGTTTTATCATAAGCTAAACTGCACAGTGTGATTTTTAAACAAATGTTTAATATTTTTCTCGATGAAAAAAAATTGGCACAATGAAAATCGCAATAAAAAGAGAAAAATCGGGAATATTTGTGTATTTTTTAGATATAATGTAGAAACTGCTCAAAATCCAACGAACGTGTCGTCGCGAAATTAATAAGCAGATTATTAATTTATGAGACAACGCTCGATACGAACTTGTACGTAGAAAACGGGCCAATCGCACAAAGAAACAATTGTCAGAAAAATATATAAAACAGATAAAAAAATATATATATATCAAAGCGGGGCAGTTGTACACTACTTTTAGATTTACAGTACCTACTTCTCTCCTATGGCTCTCTGAAAGTTTCTAAAATCCATTCTGCATCACTGACATGTGAGCCGTTTATTTTAGGAGAGAGTGTAAGTTCAGCTTTGAAACATTATGAGTTTCAGCGGGGTACGGATATAAACTGATATGTGCTCGGCTATATCGATTTTGCCAAAGTTTTTGAAACTGAATTTCCACCATTTTACAAATCGTGAAATGTAATTGCGACAAAGGAGGTATTTTGTAATTTATAAAGAAAGGATATTTCGCGCGATGTTACAAACATGATGACATGTCTCGCCAATAAGCGCACACAAATGCGTTTAATTAAACATTCACAAGCTTTTCCTCCAATTATGAAAAACAATTAGTATTTAATTTTATTTTTTTTAAGTCTTTTGTTGCATCTCGACGTTTTTACGATATTTTTTGAATTAATTCTACCGTGACCTTTTTCGCGTGTTATTTAAAACAATAGAACAACAATGAAACTTATTAAAACCCGATTCTACGCTCATGTATATTACACTCGTGTGTATTAAAAAAATTCAGCTGCTTGCGCACAACAAATTGTTTCCGAAATTGTCGATCTGAAAAAAATTAGTCAAACATTCAATTAACCGATTCTCTTTTTGTTGGCGGGTGGCGCGCTATTGTGTAACCGTTGCAGAAAAGAAATTTAATTAGAATAACATTTTTTCCGGATTCTCTGCGCTTGACAGGTGATCAATTATGACAGTCCGCGAGGCGGGGTATCGGTTATCACGGAGAAGGGTGAGGTAACGACGTCGTATCTTTTAATTCAGCGTGCTCAACCGGCGGATAGCGGACAATACACCTGCCATCCCAGTAACGCTAACACAAAGACGGTCTTGGTCCACGTACTTAATGGTATGTATACTTCTTAATCTCACGACGCACCTGCTGTTACACGCTCCCGTTACAACGAAGGCGTTTGCATAGCGGCTTAATATTACCTAATGGTAATCCTCCGGCACAGCGCGCCGATTATCCAGTAGTGCGAGAAAATAAATATTATCCTTCTCCGCGGTGAGAAGAAACCGCAAATCTAGCACAAAAAAAATAAAAGAAGATTATATTAAATTCTATTCGCGCTCTCTCTTTGCAGGGGAACATCCAGCCGCGATGCAGCACGGCGGCCAGCTAAGATTAGCCAATTTACCTTTTGTAATGATCTCGACGACGCTTCTGACCTTCTTGAATCACCCTTATTAGGATGTAGAGGCGCTGGACCATTATTATTATTATTATTATTATTATATATATATATACACATATGTGTGTGTGTGTATATATATATATATATATATAGTTAGCAAGCGAGAGATACTTGTTTCAAATTTCTCTATTTTTCTTCTTTCTTGGCGTATACTGATTGTCTGATTTTCCTCGAGAAAAGATAGCGTGACTATCTATCGTTGAACCTCGCTCTCTCTTTCTTTCTCTTTTTCATATACACATGTATGTACATATGTGTGTGTATATATATATATATATATACATAGCGCGCTCGTGTGAATAGACGATCGATAAAATAAACTGCAAAAGTTCGAGTCTTTTTCCAATAACGTGATTTATGTTACATTTGTTGTTTGAATATATGCTGTTATTAAATGCCTGTTATTATAATCCATCATTCTTCGTAATTTATTGTTATCGAGTGGAGTACAACTTACGTAATTAATATGTTCTTTAATTATATATGTTGAGAGACAAATTCTGTCTATATGTGTGTCGTTAAAATATTTCTTACCGCGCGTTTCTCCAAAACGCTTCGTATGTTGTTCAGAAAGTCAGTAAGAACGCATCTCTCACAAAAAATGATTCGTACAGACGAACGTAATAAGCAAACAAGAATCTCAGTAAAACCGTCGCGAAAAAGAAATGACAAAATAACAAAAAAAAAAAAAAAAAAAAAAAAACAAGAAAAACAATTGTGAGACACAGAGCGATTGTGAGATACAGTCCTCCAAGAGGATTTTCAAGAGTTACAATGCTGTAAATTTAGAGAGCGAAGACAGGGTAGCAAAACATTGCATACGTTGACAAATACTTTGCGATTCGAAAAATTTATTGCGCCCGAGCGGCAGATTGGTATATAAAGGTTACACATATTTGCTTATGTTCACGAGACAATACGTCGCGCTTTTGCCAAAGGAATTCGTACGTGTTATTGTTAAAAAAAAAAAAAAAAAAAAATAGACTGGATTTTAACATATATAGATACCGTGTGTTAAAATCTATCCCTCTAATTGCGAGGCGACGCGTATAAGAATTATATTTAAGATAAAGATTGTGCTGTAAAAAAAAAAGAAGAAAAATGAAAACACTTGATACACGAGTGAGCGCGTCCGTGTAACAGAAATTATTCGCACAAACACACAATATAAATTTTCACAAGACACAGTCTTCGACGACTGTCTTCGCGATACGGAGAAAGATTTCCAGAATGCGAATCTATACAATGATATACGAAATTACGAAAATTTACTATGCGTTTTGTTAAATGATTGAATAAGAATGTTGTGCTACAAATCATGTTAGAATTCTATTTCATCGAGAATTGACGTACACAATTATTTCTTCCATTATACTTTTATTTCACGTCAGAACAGTTTACTTGACACAGCGAGATTCTATCTATTATTATTTTGTGCTATTATCAAACTCACAGAGGCGAGATAATAATTGTATGAAATATAGAGAAAATAATTATATATTATAAAATTCTAATTTATTGTTTGTATATTTGTTGTCACGAGATTATATATATATATGTATATATTGGATAAGTGCAAAAGTCACGCGCCTGATTTATCATTGGTATTAATAATAAATCGGACACGTAACTTTTGCACTCTCATCCAAATATTTGATTATAAAACGAAATTATACACGAAAACAGTTTGATCCTGTTTGTTGTTTCATGTGCGATACCATATAAAATATGGATATGTTACGTATTACTTACTTTATGTAATATGTTATAAAACAGTTAAATTATTGCATATATATATATATATATATATATATATATATATATAAAATAATAATTATTATATTAATAATTATTTCATACGTATATTAATAATTATTATTATAATAATTATAATACTTTTGGTAAATCTAATTTTACACATGTATAACAAATAATTTTAAGTTCGTGGATAATAATTATTTAAAGAAAACTGACAAACAAAAATCAACTTGATTTATATAATATTCAATTATGTAGTCTAAGAATTTGTGTTTGATAAGTTCAAAAATGTTTTTGTAGAGATATTCTCTTGTGTTTTAATGTCACGAGTATATGATATTATATTTGATTGAAGATTAGATTTGATTTCGTAGAGTTTTATCGATAATGTTGAAAGAAAATCTGAAATATTAAATAAGGTTGGATGTGAGATTAAAAAATTCGAATCCTATTTAGATCAGAGTGTGAACGATAATTTATAATATTAACAATAAAGAATTTTTTTTATATAAAATCGTTGTATATATTTTTTACCCTCATCCCTCTACGTCTAATTGAGGTAAATTTTTTTTACGGCGAGTAGTTTTTTCTGTTGATTCACACGGTTTTAAGTGGATCTTTATCAGCTCCGGACACGCACACTTGAACAGACTTATCTCCTCCTAATATTCTTCCAAATGTCAACGCGAATGAGCACAGAAAACCGCGTTCCGAATCGGAATGGTTAGTTAATATAACGTTGATACCACGATGCACGGCGTCCAACACTTCGTGATGCAGCATCTCTCCCGTAAGATATAAGTCCGCGGACATATCTTTCAGCACCGACACGCCCGATCCAGCGCACAGTGCAACGGTCTTAATAAAACCATCTGAAATGCAAAAATAATGATATAAAATGTGACGTGTTTACAAATGTTAGAGATCGACTTTCTTAATATTTACCTGTACCGCGCGCGCGTGCCAATCTCACGTGTTCCAGTTTTGTATGCGCCTTCACTAATTCCACCGCTTTGTTAATAGATATACGATTTTTCAAGACGCACAGTCTACCCAATCCGTATTTCTCGTTGTCCGGAGATGGTTGAATTGGCTTGATGCTCTCAATGTTCTCGAGATCTTAAAATAAAAACATTTTTTTTTTTTGTTTTTTTTTTGAGTAAAGTGTGCATCAATCTTCTGAACAAGTTGATGCGTTGTGAGTAAAGGATTTTTACCGAGAGCGCACGCTAACCAATCGTTCACACCGCCATCAATAGCGTCGAAGGAAGAGTGAGGAGAGAAGACAGCGATCTTGTTTTCCAGACACCTCGCCACTATTCGTTCCTATTGCACATAAACTACAAATTATCGCAATACTTTTTTTTTTACAATATGTTAGATTATATTGCAGACCGTTACCTTCCAAGATTTAGTGGTAACAGATTTCAATGGAGCAAATATTAACGGATGATACGTGACGATTAAATCGGTTTTTAATTCAATAGCTTCGTCCATAACATCTTCAGTTAGATCATTCGTCAGTAAAATGGTGTACACATTTTTTGGTTCTGTAGGTTCTACCAGTAATCCAACATTGTCCCAGGAAGCTGCGAGCGACAAGTCCGCATACTTGACTAACGCGCTCACCACTTCTTTCAATGGCACACCGGATTTGTCTCTCGCTTCGGTACTCATTGCGCGTGTCGCTTTGTATTGTCGAATATATCCGTGTCGCAGATACGAAATCTTGTAAGATCGTAATACGATGTTATGTAATCTCTTAAACATGTATACAGCCCTAAAATAAAGACACAATTTTTGTACACAGAGTTCTCTAATAATGCGTTGCTTATTTCAATATTTCAAGAAAGTGAACTTGCAACAAATATACCGAGATCTGTAAAATTATCAAAAGATAAATTTTATTATGTATGAAACAGAAAAATGATAAATAAAGTTTGTTAGAACGTTATCGCCTGCACTCGCTAATTATAAGATATTGCGGATACACGAAAATAATTTATGAAAATTATGAACCGACGCGCATGTGAGAAATAAAACAAAAACCACCATAAAATATTTTTGTATTATTAACATTTATTTATATATTACATTTATCTTATTCCTTATAAAACCATATCTTCACCGAACTATCGTCGCTCGCGGATGCAAGTTGTCCGGGAACCACGGGATTCCACTGAACACAATTAACGTCCTGCGTATGGGCGCTCTCCATCGAACAGACCAACGTGAAAGTCGGTTGATGAGGATCGCAGTCCGCGTCTTCCTTAAATATTCGAATGATATCGTCACCGCACGCGGTCGCTAACAGACCGGTGGTCTTGCACCAGTCAATGTCGTAAACAGTTCTTGTATGATAGCCCGATAATGTGCAGACGCATTTCCAAACGGATTCATTGTTAGGCGTGGCGATGCCCGTCTCGTTACCGGGTTTGTACTCCCGCCATATTTTCACTGTCTGATCGTCGCTGCAAGTCGCGATTCGATTGCCAGTCTTGTCCCACGTAAGACTCCACACCGTAGACGTGTGTGACGACAGAGTTGCAATGCAAGACCAATCGCTGTCTGCCACGTCTTCTTTAAATATCTTTGCTGTGTTATCGTAACTGGCAGAAGCCAAGATCTCTTCGTGCGGATGCCATCTAACCTGAAATAAACATAAAAAAACTTTTTTTATGTACAACATAAAATCTGTCAGATTTGTAAATTAATAATAAGTAAAACAAGCGATTAAATTTATGACGATCTCTGAATGGACTTGCAATACTTACCTTTTTTACATCTTGAGTGTGAGCGTTAATAGCGGCAGCGCATTCATAATCATCGTCATTTACTTCCCACACCCATACAGATTTATCCCGACTGCATGTGGCAAGCAACTGACCGGAAACCGACCAACTAACACTTTTCACTTCATTCTCATGTCCCTCTAACGTTGCGTTGCAGTCAAACTGTCCTGATTTTTTGTCCCATATTGCGATGGTAGCATCAAAACTAGCCGACGCAATGTAATTTCCACAGGGAGACCAAGTTACTTCTCGAATGGATCTTGAGTGTCCCTCGGTAAGGATCATTTTTGTAACCCATTTAGATCCCTCCAATCCCCATATTGTGATTGTTTTGTCCTCACCGCAAGATGCCAGAGTGACACCCTGGGGATGCCAACAAACACTCCACACTCTGCCTCTGTGACCTGTCAGAGTTTGCTTTAGTTCCAATGTGCTCATTGTTATTTCTGCAACAATAAACTAATAAACATGAACAATCAATTAATGAAATATCATGTTTATCAAACGAATCACAATAAACAGGCATGTGAGGAGTGTTTGTTTACGTATCGAGAGCTTGTGTCACCAAAAGCATGAATAATAATTCTGTTTCTAGGTAGCATTTACAAAACAATATCATTTTGTACTCTCAGTACCGCTTTAGTAAAAAAAAAACTTGACAAATGAATTTTTTTACACGGAGCAAACACGCACGTTCTTTTCAAACTTTTTCACGCTAACCTTTTCGCAACCGTTGCGTACGGTTTTACGTACGGATATTGCTTTTAAATTGAGAGTAAGTGTAATTCTCCATCTACACACGAATAAAATAAACTTACATACGTACAAAACAACAATCGAGTCAATATTATTAATCGGCTTAAGTTATTGTTCTAAAAACAATATAATAATGAAAACATCAAACTCACCGTCCCTTGACAATAATGAAAAACGAATTAGTTACTCAATGTGTTCGTACGCATAAATTGCAACTGCACCGGTTGATAACGGCAGTATAAAAAAATCTACATACGTAGAATATTTATGAAAACGATACCCCGAACGATAGCGATCCAGTCTTCCAGTCTCCCTACATTCTAGGCTCGCGAATTTATGTACACACACATATGTTAATTGTATACTTCGTGACATTATAACCGTCTGTCGATAACTCGGCCGGCCGATCTCCAATAAAATTGAACCGTACCAAAATATCAGCTGATCGCGATAGAGAGCGTTATTGAATATAATGGCTGCGTTCGTTTTTTTTACTGGCGGTACTGAAAATCTATAGATTCGTGTCACGTATACTATAGATTTTTCAGTACCGCCAGTAAAAAACCGAACAGGGCTTATGTGTTGTGTGAAAATTCGGTCTTGAAAAAATCGAAAGAAAATTCGTGCCGCGCGCTCTGTAATTATTATTCGACATTGTTTTAAAGCCGAAGACCGAACGGGAAATAATATCGCGAGGAAACAGGTCTATTCTCGTCGATACTTTTATACGGGATATTTATTCCAGGAGCGTTTCTCGAACGACGTAACGCAGACCGTGTCTCTTTAATTTGCTCCATTTATCAATATTATTTGATTTTAATTTTTATACACGCGTACATGTTTGTGTTATTATTTATTAGTTTATTAAACTCATCTGTGTGTACACGCTTGTTTATTTCAGAATTTCGTAGCGCTTCGAACAGATTCGTGGCTACGTAACTGCGAGCTCTAACGCTATGTAGATATATTCGATAATTAGTTCGAAACGCGCTGTTCGCGAATAAGCGAAGCGCGCAATCGCTGTGACGATGCGGTCGTTGAGTTAACGTAAATGTACATACGTCATCACACTATCCCGTCGAAAAGAGGAGCGGAAGGATTCGTGTCCTGAGACAAGACTTTGGGCTTTACGCTGCGATCCTGTAAATAAATTTATCGAGCTTTTTTATCGCTAGATAAATAAAATCGGTAGAAAAAAACAAGGGGGAGTATAGAGGAAAAGAAAAAAAGAGAGAACACAAAATGATCTGAAACGAGTTTTTAGAGAGTCGTCTCCACACAATCTCTCCTCTGCTGCCACGGCGCGGAGAAAAACGTAATCGCGACTCCGAGCGCGATCGACGCGTATTCGGAGGAGACCGGCTGCTGCGAAAATCGCAGGTGCGAAAGAGAGGTGAGAGGAGAGTAGGTAGGTCGGTCGGTCGGTCGGTAGGTAGGTAGGTGTGAGAAATCCACGCGGCGTGGAAAGAGAGAAGAGAGAAGCGTTTCGCGCGACGCGGCGGCGGTCGCTTCTAAATAAATTGGAACCGGACATTTGTGAGTTTCTCGCACACACACGGGGCGCAAAGGACGCGCATACATAATCAAAAGCGAGAGAGAGAGCCGTCGCGACAGTTGGTGGGCGACGACGAGGCGACCAGGAGGCGAGGCGGCGAGAAGGTGGCGGGTGCGAGAAGTGGCCGGGAGTGTAGTGCGCGAGTAATCGCGAGCGTAACGTATCATCATCGGCGGCGGCGGCGGCGGCGGCGGCGGTACGACGACCTGCCAGAAAGAAGAGAGAGAGATACGACGACACCTGCTTGCCAACGGGGAAGCGGACGACGGTAAACGCGCGTGTATATGCGTATATACGAGTACGCACGCACGCACGCACGCATAAAACGTCGTTACGTGCTCGAAAAAAAACCGTGTGGAAAAACGTACCCTACATACACGGCCATAACTCAAACAACAGAGAGATGAAGTGATAACACAGTCGAAAATCTCGCAAGAGAGAGAGAGAGAGAGAAACAGGAGAGAACCTGCACCGCGATCATCGCGAGAGAGCCGCTTTTTTGCAAATCGCAGAAGCGCGCAAAGAAGCTTTGCTCCTCCAAAAGGAGGAGGGACGACAAGGAAAGAGACGAAGAGGAGAAACGAAACGAGGTGAGGAGGTGGTGATCTGATCTGATCTGAATCGAGTCTAGTCCGATTCACACACAGTTGTCGTTGGAGTGTACCCGCGCGATCTTATCGCGGGTTACACTCTCGTCGAGTCTCGCCGTGTCTCTCAGCGGCAGCGGAGCTAAGAGAAACACGAGCGACGATAAGAAGAACACGAGAAGGAGCGGCCAGAAACGGAGAAACGGAAGTGTGGGCAGTGCGTTGCTGCGTGCGAGAAGAAACGTAGACAAGAAAACGTAGGCAAAGCAAGGCAGCAGCGACGAGCGGAGAGCGAGGAGTTGAGGCTTGGCGCTCGGAGGAGGACCACCGGTCACTCGGTGAGATGAGTGCCAAAACTGACGTGAACAGACGAGTACTTGCGATCCAAGCGAAGAAGAAACGGCACAAGCCAAGCAAGCGTAAGGGCAAGGCGAGCAATTCACAGGGCGAGCAAGACGCGCAGAGTTCCAAAGGACAGCGGACCGGCCAGGCGACGACGACGACGACGACGACGACGGCAACGGCAACAACGGCTGCCACCGCTACCGCCGTCTCCAACAACCCCAACAACACCTACGAGTATCCGGACTTAACCCCCATGCAGCGCTCGTATGCGCGTGCGACCAGGTAACCCCCGATGTCCAATCCGGTGCAGCCGGCACGGAAGACTCTCGCGTACGCGTTTTTAACGTTGCCGCGTATCGATATTTTCGTGATATCAAACGATGACATGCAGCGGTGTCGCGCGTCCACTCTTCGTTATTTCCCATCAGACGTTCCGTACGCACGGTTGTTACGATTACGATACTTATCGCAATATGTATCGCGAATATTCGAACACACATCATAACGCGAGATGACAATCTGTCAGAGAAATCACTTCGTCACGGTCGTGTTTCGTTCGACTTTTTCATTTTTTCTTGCTGAGCTTTTGTATGTCTTCGTGCGTTGAATTTATTGTAGAAATAAGTAACAGAGAAATATTCAATTTATAATTTGTCAAGTATAATTTATGTATTACTTTAATGAAACTTTGGAGACAATACAATAGTGTATAACATTTTGTGAAATTCAGCTGAACATAATGCTGAACAAACTGCTTTTTTTTTTTGCTGTATTTTAATTATTTCTACATTTTGCGTTACAAAAGTACTCGTTAACACTCAATTTTTAGAATCACACTAATAATATCTTGTTGTTTGTGTATTTAGTTAACTGCATTAGTCACAGATCTGAATCATTTCTTAGTTCCAGCAATGAAACGATAGAAGATGACGACGAGGTGTTCAGCAGCGAGGAGGAGGAGCAGGAGGACAGCAGCGACTATTGTAAAGGCGGATATCATCCGGTGAAAATAGGAGATCTCTTTTTAAATCGTTATCATGTCACCCGCAAGCTTGGATGGGGTCATTTCTCCACCGTGTGGCTTTGTTGGGATTTGCAGGTAGGCGTTTTTTTATTTTTTTTTTTTTGACAATATTATAAGAGATGTCTTTGTTTGTCTATGTAAACACAAAAACCATACTTTAAAAACTATTCTGCAGGATAAACGTTTTGTGGCACTCAAAGTTGTAAAATCCGCCTCTCATTTCACTGAGACTGCATTGGATGAAATTAAATTATTAAAAGAAGTGCGCGATACGGATCCTAGTGATCCTAAGCGCAATAAGACCGTCCAGTTGCTCAATGACTTCAAGATCAGCGGCATTAACGGCCTGCATGTTTGCATGGTGTTTGAAGTACTCGGACATAATCTTCTTAAATTAATTATCAAGTCAAATTACAGAGGAATTCCGAGAAATAACGTTAAACGAATCATCAGACAAGTCCTTGAAGGTCTCGATTATCTCCATAATAAATGTAAGAAGATTGCGTATTAAAATTAACATTTAAAAATTTTGTATTTTAGTTTTATGCACTGTTTTTTTATAATATAATATTAAGACCCTGAAATTTTTGAAAGAATACATACCATACCCTTTTTTATTAATCATCGACTTCTAAAGAAACTTAATGTATCACATTTGAATTTCCTTTCAGGTAAAATTATTCATACCGACATTAAACCCGAAAATGTTCTCGTGTGCGTCGACGAGATTTATATACGAAAATTAGCTTGCGAAGCGACAGAATTACATTCTATGGGAGCAAAGTTGCCAGTATCCCTGATTTCCACCGCGCCGAAAGAGTTTCAAGAACCAACGCCGAATTCTAAAATGTCCAAGAACAAGAAGAAAAAATTGAAGAAGAAGGCCAAGCGTCAGAACGAACTTTTGAGGAAACAGATGGAACAGATCGAGGAGTTGGAGGAGCAAAATAAGCTCGCGAACAGCACGAGAGAGAACGGGGAAATCGAAACAAACAGTTTGGATCAAGATCTCAACACCGAGAGCATAGAGGATAACACGGAGAGCAAGGGCTCGCCCGACATCTCGGAACCGTCCGCCACTTCCTTGCACATGAACGGAGTAGATGGTCTGGCTGGTGGTGAAAAAATGCAGAATCCATCACCCGAACAGTCGGAAAAAATGGACAACGTGAGTCTGTGCGACGTGGAAAAGAGTTGCGGCGAAGGAATATTGCCGCCTGATCCTGATGACACTGATGAATGTAGCGAAGGTAAAACAATTCGTCGGAAGAAAGAACACATATCTCTATCTGTTGCGTTTACACTTCTATTTTGTTTGTTATTTATTGTCTCTTTTTGTAGGTCGTAGATCGTTAAATCCGCCTGAAAGCAAGCAACTTAAACGGGCGTCCACGTCACCTCTAGATCCTGCCATAATAGAGTGTGAGGTTGATGTAAAGATAGCGGATCTCGGTAACGCCTGTTGGGTCCACAAGAAATTCACGGACGATATCCAAACGCGTCAATACAGGTCGCTCGAAGTTCTGTTGGGTTCCGGATACGACACCTCTGCCGATATATGGTCCACCGCTTGTATGGCGTTCGAACTAGCGACCGGTGATTATCTGTTTGAACCGCACAGTGGTAAAGATTACTGCAGGTAAAAAAATTTTACAAATGTTTTTTTTTTTACATTCAAAAAATAAACCTTAAATTTGTTCTTTCGCGTCGTTATTTTGAGCGTTTGTTTCTTGTTAACGTGTTTCACAGAGACGAGGATCATCTGGCTCATATTATTGAATTGCTGGGAGAGATACCAAAACGTATTGCTCTCTCGGGAAAAAATTCCAAGATGTACTTCAACAAGAAGGGCGAACTTAAGCATATTACAGGATTGAAACCGTGGGGTTTGTACGAGGTGCTGACAGAAAAGTACGACTGGACGCCGAGCGAAGCGCGCGAATTCGCAGAGTTCCTAACACCGATGCTCGAATTCAATCCGAGCACGCGAGCCACCGCAGCCGAGTGCCTGAAGCATCCGTGGCTGCAAATCAAAAAGTGATCGCGCTTTTTTATTGTTTCATTAGTAATGTTCCCCTCAACTCTCATCCCGATTCCGCAGCCCAATTGTGACGATCATAAATCGAGAGTGTGATAGGAAGCCGAATAGCACCAGGTGCGTTTATTTCTGTACTGAAAATCGCAATTCTCAATTCACGTATGAAAGGCAAGTGCATCGTTTGAAAAAAAAAAAAAAAAAAAAAAAAAAAAAAAAAAACGCGCGCGCGCACACCACATAAAAAAAAAAAAAAATTATACACACACATAAACACAAAAGAAAACAGCTTAATATTAAGAACGAAAACAAAAATGTGACGTACATATATGTGTTGTTATATTAATCATATTTATAATACGCTAGAAGCGTACACATCCGCGTGGGGAATGTTACGAAATAGAAAAAAAAAAAAAAAAAAAAAATAATGTTCTCGAAGACTTATATAATATCACAAATATAGTGATTTGACAATATCGTGGAAGTCAGCCCCGAAGGAATCCTCCCCCCTTTTCCTGGAATGCAGCGAGCGAAGTGTCGCAAAATCCGAAAGAATCGGTAGAACGGTCTTGCAACATTCCGCTGATTTTTTTTTTATGTATGTAAAGAAGAACGACCACGCGCGTGCTTCCTAAAACGCAAATACACTTAAATCACAACCGCTGACTTATAACGTGTAATTTATACACTTGTTGAATTTTATTTTTAATTAGTGATGAAAGAACTTAAATTAAAAAAAGTTTCGATAGTACTTTATATATATACATGTATACATAATTAGTTTACAAATATTCGTGTCGCGTTCACTCGGTTTCATTTTTCGATCGATGATGAATATTCCAAGAATCGTAGGAACCCGCTCGTAGATATGTGCTGCGAAGGGGTAATCGGCAAACTCGGTAACGAGTGTTTGGTTTAAAATTAGGACTTATCGCCTTGACTCGGTTATATTTGTATACTTTTATATATCACACGCATATACACGCATAGGTCGCTGTAAATTCTTGCCAACAAACTTGTCGAGAAATTGCAACGGCACGCGTAAAAGTGGCTACTTAATTAATATTTTATGTCTACCTCAATATATACGCGCGGAGCCAGTTAGAAAATACTCTAACAAAATAGTATACAAGGAACCGCAGTCATGTGTGTAAAACAAAATAGAGAAACATTTGTATATTGTAGATAACACTCAATCCTTTGGCTGCAAACGCTGTACAAATATGGTTTTTTTTTTTTGCGATATTCGTGCGATACTCGACGGCGCAGAGCCAACATTTTGTTTGAACCGATTCGACTTAGCTGATGACAAGAGTTTTCTCAAAAACTTTTCTTTTTTGACGCCATACGAAAAATCAATTACACAATTCAATAACTGCATGTTGCGCAGCCAAAGGTTTCTAAGAGTGGGTCACACTGGATTCTTGGTATATGTAATTGAAATGAGCGTAAATTAGAATGAGACATAAATACTGAGATGTATTTTTTCATATATCTTCAAGGTGCAGATTTCTATATTATATACACGTAATTACATATGTTTGCAACATAAAATTTAAAATATTTCGAAGTTTTTCTTTTTTAATTATCTTGGAAAATAATTCATATATTGTCCAAGAATAAATAAATTTGCAAAATTTGGCAATAAAATCGCACCCAAGACAAAGAGTTATATATAATTCTATATGATAAATAATTTTCTGATCTTTTGCGGTTACATATCTATATATTTTTTGACACATTCTTATTATTTAAAAAATACACTTGTATGGAAGAAATATACATCAGTTATTAATCGTGATGTTAATTATACAGGAAATAGCTATATGAAAAAATATTACGCTGGTTGTCTTATTCTATATGTACACCTCACAATGCTGAGATGATTAATGAATATTTTTTGACTTTATTTCAAACTTGTTTTGTGTCTCGATAAATGCAAACACATCATATATACAATTACGAAAAAAAAAAAAAACAAGTATTTATAATGTGCGCGGAAAAGGTTTTGATGAATATATTGAACACACACACACACACACACACACACACAATCGTAACATACGTGTGTGAGAAATGTCTTTATATTGACTGATTACTTGAGAGCTCTCTTGTTAATTATATAATTTCTGAATTATATAATTGTCTTCTATATTTTGTGAACAAACGAGCGAAGCAGCGCGTTTCACTGAACTTTCTGCGCGTTGACAAATTCGATTTGTGCTTCCCGCAGAATGTTCGGTTTTTTTTGCTTCACACAACCTCCCAGTCTCAGATCGCATCAATAAAAAAAAAAAAACCGGTTGAAGCTTTTGTAAAATACATGGGAAAAAAATCGTCACAATGTGTATAAATATTCTGTTATACTTGCGGCCACACATCTCTTCCCGGTGTTGTACAAAAAAAAAAAAAAAGAAAAGCAAAATACTCTCGTAAAAATACATAGCTTTATGATCTATTTTTTAATATCACGTGCATGTTTATTTATTTTATTTTTAATCACTTTTAAAATAAGCAACACACACATACGCACGCGCGCGTATTATATATTTAATTAATTACGTGAGCATTTCGATATGAAATTTATAACGTAAATAATACGCCGACCGAAACCTTTTAATTCATAAATTTATAACAAAATCATGAGATGCATTTCTGCGAATTGGAAAAATTCGAAAAGCAGGCACTTGATGTTTTAAACTTTATACAATATTGGAAACAGAGCGGTACGGTCTGTATGATATTCGACGATGAGAAAGTGCCTCTTCTATAACCCGCGGTTAAAACGAAGAACGTTGCGTTTATATATGTGATTCTATTCCGGCAAAAAACTTGAGACACGCGTTCTCTACAAAAGGCGTGCAATCTAACTTCCGCATTTCCCCTGCAATCGCGCGGCTCTTTCGTGAAGCTCGTGTGTGGTACTCGATGACGGCGAATCTGTACAGTATATACTGTTGAAATCTCTTAAATAATATTGTCTCACGAAATACAGCGAGCCGAGATGAAATCCGTTGTTTCGCGAGAAAGAAGGTAGCGATCACAAATTCAATTTAATAGTCAATTTGCCTTTTAAATGTTTTTTTTTTTTTTTTACTAGTTACACTCTCTCGTGATAGAACGCTCGGAATCACTCTTCAGCTCGTGATGTCGTGTGTCGCTCTCGTGAGAGATTTTAAAAATTCACGTAGTTTTCTAGAGAGAGAGAGAGAGAGAGAGAGAGAGAGAGAGAGAGAGAGAGAGAGAGAGAGAGAGAGAGAAGAGAATCTGTAAATCTTGAAAACACATCGGTCAGAAAATCATTGATCGGAGCGCGCGCGTCAGTATAGACAAGAACAATACTTCCACTGATAATATATATATATATATATACGGCATAATACAAGGATGATTGTTAATATTATTGACGCGAGTCAGAACGTTGAATTAACGATTTTGTTAGAAGATGACGACGAATCAACATCGATCGATCGCGCTGATTACGTCGTTGAAATCAATTGAAGCTCAATATACCGCGTTGCACTGACCATAGGTAACGTTTTTTGTCTCGTATTAATATATCATATGTATATAAATGTCACACATACATATATATATTAATATCTCTATAGTGTGCTCTATACAATAAATACATAAATATATATATGTAATAAATTTATATATATATAATATATTATATATTAAACTATATATATAAATATTTGTATATATATCAATATATATACATATATATAAACGGTAACGTACGTAGGTGTGACTGCTGCTTTAAGATATATATATATATATATATGTATACATATATACGTACATAATAGTAAGTTACATACATATATATGTATATATATAAATACATACATACATAAATAAATACATACATAAATAAATACATACATAGTTAGGGGAGAATTGACAAAACATCAGTAAATTGTGTATAACTTAATATGTATGAGATATTTCCCCCTTCTCCTCTCCGACTTTTAAGCGATATAATTATAATTTTGTGCGAAGTAGGATAAAATAGACGAAAGTGAGTAAAAACAAAAAAAACCTTTAAAAAAACGAATATCCTCAGAACAGTCCGTGTCTTTTCGTTTTTTTTTGCGAAGAAAAGAAATTTCTCTCATGCGTTATATATAGGTATAAGATTCGCGCGGATGTGTATGAATGTGATCAGGAATATGCGGTCGGATAAAAAAGGGGAAATGGTGTATAAGTACACAGGGACCCAAAATTACACACTGAAATTCGCACCAGAGACTCATGTTCCAAAAAAAAAATCGGTAGATTCTAAACTGTTTTATGCGAAACAGATTTGTTTAAATCGGATATATATATATATATATAATAATCGCGCTGAGAAAATATTTCGAGAGTGTTAATCCGATATGATAATATCGATATTTATAAAATTATAATGTACCTTGGAATCGGAGCAATCAATATTATTACACTTTGCAGCTCATACACACACACACACATACACACACAAAATGTAAATTCTGAGGATCTCGAAACGTTCGTGATGTACGTGCATTTTTCGACTGAATTTTCATTAAATTGTTTCTTTCGTTTTGCCGAGAATAAACACAAATATTGATTGCTGTCTCATTCCAAAATTATATAATTGATAATTTATATGCGCATTACATTACGCGATGCTAAAGCGCACAGAGCGAAAGAGGTATGGAATCGTCGGTCGTTCCTATTTGTAATCGTTGCGGAAAAAAATCCGCTTTTGTTCAATCTTCGTGAGAGAAGAAGTACCGGAATCACAAACGACAAGTGAGGGAATGTGGCCTTGTGATTAAAAAAAAAAAAAAAAAAAAATTAATTCTCGACGAAGAAACTAATAAATGCGCGCATTGAACGTTCGAGATGTTGTGCGAATCTCTCTTCTTAATCTTATACAAATAAAATTGGCACACTGTATTGCCGGGAAACGCGATAAGAAAGAAGAGAAGGGAAGATCTCTTTGAGATGTGAGAAAAAAGGAAAAAAAAAAACAGAAAGCTTAAACACCAAGATTTATTACATATTGTAAGTTGCGACGCGCGATGTGCGCGCGAGGTAATGTAAATATTGTGAGTATATTATAAACCCGGCACAGGGTTTTATTACACCTTTTAGAAGAGAGCGGTGATTAGAAGCTAGCGGTGATGATCTGCAAACTGCGACGGAGTGGGAAAACCTCCGACCGCGAATACAGATTGTAAAATGTACAGCGATTATATATATATATCGAAATGATGGGTCTAGAGGAAGATGTAACGGGTTTGTACTTGAAAAGAAAACAAAGAAAAAAAAAATGGACGGAGAAAGAGAGGCGCGATATTAAAGTCTTTGGCCGTACGATAATTTATTAATTGTCACTCACTGATTTTTGGTACATAGTCATACCGGTCTCGTAGCGTTATAGAGAGCTATTTAAACTCTGCATGCTTAGTCCACTTGTATCGCTCGCCGGCGAGTCCCTTGCGCGTCCCCCGAGGATCCGCTGCGCGAACGTACAGGTTTTAAGGATTTGTAAAATTTATCGATAGTGGCGCGCTTAGGCGCCCGTGATAACGCGACGATCATTTTTAGAAGTTCATCGAGCCGAAACCGAGACATGCAAGTTATATTATAACGAATCGAACCTGGATGACGTGTGCGAGAAAAACGACTGGAGCGTCGGGACAGGGAGAGAGAGAGAGAGAGAGAGAGAGAGAAAGAGAGAGAGAGGGAGAGAGAGAGAGACAGGCCGTGTATCGCCGTGTGCAACCTCCTCTCTTAGACAATATCCCAGATTAGCGCGATAAAAATAATGCCCTCTTTGTCCTATTGCTGGCTGGACGCGATTGAATCGCGAGAGAGGGCCGAGGAAATCAACTTCGCTTGATTGATCCTTAATTAAATTCGCCTGATTGCGTCGCACACGAGTTGCATATGTAAGACGCGAGGTGTACAACAGAGGCATCCATTTGACACGCGTCGTTAAATTTTCTATAAATATTGTAAGCGAATTATTAATTAGAGAAAAAAGAAAACAATTTTGAAAATTTTAACTCCTTAGGTGAGAATATAGAGCTTCGAGTTGTCAGTACCATATATATATAGTTTGAGGCACGTTCACAAGCGAGCGTTTTCTTTTTTCTTTTTTTTTTTCGATTCGAGTATTTAGTTTAATAATGATGTGCTATAAGTGATAATGTATAATTCTTAATGTTGAAAAGCCGCTGAAGAAAATATTGTTTTTAATTTATTTTTTTCTTACGCAATAGATAATCGAACTGTATAGGTATTTTATTTTATTTTATTTTATTTTTTTTTCAAGCGTATCGTACACGAAGAAGTCGTGCGCATTCTTTATGAGATATTATATTATCTGTGTGAATTACCGATGTGCTGTAGTATGGAAAAGAACACCGAAACAAATCATCGCTGATCTATCGCGTTTTAACACTAAAAAATCGTCTTGTGCTCCAGTCGCTCGATGTACGACCATACGAGGCGTTAAGAACTCTAGAACATAATAAAAAACAAAAACAAAAAAAAAAAAAAANAAAAAAAAAAAAAACAAAAAAAAACTAGCGATAAAGAATTGAACGAATAAATGGATTTGATGTTTAGACGCTGCCTCCGTTATGTGCCCTGCCGCAAAAGAGTAAACAAATACCATGTACCCACCCTCCCGAGATCGATATATAATTATGAGAAATAAATTCGCAATAAAATAAAAGCTTTTCTTTCTCTTTTTTTTCTCCACTTGTCATTCGCCATAAAATAATTCAAGGAAAAAGAATTAAAAACGGACGAAAAAAACAATCGATCGATGCGAATACAAAAGCTCGATTAGGCATATCACAAATTATATCACTTTTATTGTCCCTGAATAATTTACATACAAAGTTGTGTAATGTACAGAATTGTGTTCACAATTTTTCCAAAATGTGTTTTTTTGGACGAAATGAAAATACTTTTGTTTTCGTTTTTAGTAGAGTATACGTTTAATACCTTTATACAATATCTTGTTTGTGCATTATCGTTTTCGAAGATATCGTCGCCGCCGTATAATGTAAGTTATACATTTTGCTGAAATTTCATCATTTATGATAGATCGCACCAGTTACGAGACTCGTATACGACGGGGTTAACGCTCTCTCGTGTGAGCAAAAAAAAAAAAAAAAATAAATAAAAAATAAAAACCAGATAACGCAGTCATATATAATATCCTCTTGTGAACGATATGATAATACGGAACGTAATACGGGGTCGTCAAGTGTTCACGACACAAATAATACATAAACTGTTGTTCTTCATTCAATTACTTAATAGAAAATAACAGATTTCGCTTAAATCGATGAGTAAGTCGTTGACCTAGATAAAGAGATGTGACACATGACATATCTATAAGTGGATTTCGTTGTTTTTCAATTAACTAAATAAATACAAACGTATAATTTTTTTACATAATTAGATTTTAACACATATACACACATATTAGAATTTTTTAAACAAAATTCTAAACTATTTGTACACATTTCTAATATCAGTGAAAAGATCAAATTTGTATACAAATTAAATTTTCGTTCATTTTACAAGATTATGTACAATCGTTAAATAAATTTATACATATAAATTAAGATTTTTGAAATAAGAACTACTTAACAAAGAGAGTTGAATAGATTATAATCCTTTACGATACTAATGGGAACAAATCGGGAATTTTAATCAGACCAATCCTCCACAGTTCTGTAAATTAATATCATTGTCGTGTTAATTAATATCTCTTGGCGAAATAAAAATTTATTGCCCCCATCACCATCGTCAAAGCTGATTTCGAGTAAAGCAAGCATATTTGGACGATCACACCTCCCCCGCTGCTTCGCTGAATAATAAATATATCTTATTAAAGAAACAACACACTTATAATTATTACAGCCATATGTAAAAATTAGTGACAGACAAGATGAAAGAAATCATGAATATACTGCAGTAGAGAGACAATACGACTAACGTGTTAGAAAACTTCCTCTTATACATATCTGTGTACATACTTTGTGCAAAATAACATTAATTCCATAAACTTCCTTATGCGGGTCAGTGTCATATAATTTGCTCGAAAAATATGAAAATAAGAGAGAGTTCGAATAAAATTTGCAACACTCCCGTAATATAGAAATATAATAAAGCACACATTAGTAAAGATAATATAAAATTTATGCAATTACCGTATCAATAATTAGGCAACATATATTAAGCGAATCAAGATTAAAAGATTAATTTTTTAATTAAGATTAACTCTTTATAAGTGATTATAAAATTTCTTCCCCTCTTCTCAGTTTAAATAGAACAAGATGACGTTGTGCAACTTTAATAGCGATAATTTTGTTTTTTTTTATCATCTTTTGCGGTCGGAGTTGTTCAGACACGTATAAATCTTCTGTTGTAATCGGAATTATTCATCACATATAGTAAAAAAAAAAAAAAATAAATAAATATATTATATAATATTGCTACAAAACAGTATAAATAATAAATAACAACAATACTTTTTTTTGGGATTGAACATTCCACTATAAGAAACTTAAAAAAAACTTCCTGTGCGTTTGCCAGAGACGTAACACTTTGAAATAAAAACCTAACAAATACTCATTGTATAGGACTTGAAAGATTACCGTGTCAAATCAGTGCAAACGTCATTAGAGATTAAATCTGTTATATAAACGGACAGCTGAACTAAGCTTACATTCGACCGCAAAGAAACGAAAAAATATCGCGTAGATTCAATAAATATATATATATATATATATGTATATGTATATATATCCAGGCGTTTTTCTTATAGACTACACGAAAGCACGCAGTTCAGCACACTTAAAAGGACACAGCACACATAAAATAAATTAAATACTTAATATAGACCCGTGCCTGGGATGTCCTTTTTTTCCTTTTCCTTGCGGCTGATCCTTGGCCGTGCCGGTGACATTCAGATTCAATTGCGCGGTCGATGCCGTGGTCGCCTCATCGTCCGACTCGATCGGACTGATTCTGATAGCCTGATACCACTGATTCGTCAGATCCGTCATCTGCGACTTGCAGTCCTTCAGCTCTTGCTGCGTGAACCGTCTCGTGAAGAACGGAATGAAGAACTTCAAATCCCATCTTGCGAAACCGCGTATGCGCGACTGCAAGAACGACACTTCCATTTCTTCTTCCGTGAGTTCCGACAGATGCTCGGAATCTATAGTTTGTCCCTGCGAAACAATACACACAGTTTGTTTAATAAATTATACACGCATGTAAATAAAACTCTTATACATTAAATAAAGATTTTATGTAATTATTTAAATTATTTATTTACCCATTCTCTGGTTTTACTCAATGAAACTTCCTTGTCCTTCTTCTTTCTCCTGCTGCTGTTCTTCTGCTTCTTTTCCGCTCTCAGAAATTTAAGCAGAGGCATAGTCGATCCACCGAATATCAAGGTCGTGAATAACACGATGATGAGCGTGGTCGTTATAATAACGTGGCGCGTTTCATCGCTGAAATCTAAGTGAAGCGACAATGCGTACGATATGGCGCCACGTAGGCCGCTGAACCACATGATGAACATCATTTTTCTCGTGATCTGATGCTCGCGGAAACGATTGACCAGCAAGGCAAGTGGAAAGATGTTAGCGGCTCTTCCGATCAGACACAGTATCAAGGACCAAACAACCAATGCTGGTTCAAACTGATTAAAAAAAACAACAATTTTTCTTAATTCAAGAAACTCAAATAATTTGTTAACAGGAATCAAATAAGGCCGATACGAGCCATTCGCAAGATGTTTGTGCGGAAACTATGCGTGTACATATATATATATAAATGTAACGAATTTTTTCGCAATATTTTAAAATTAGTTAAGGGGGTATCCGGGGTTTTCCATATGTGAGATGCAAATCTAGCATCCCGTATGATTTTAAGAATTGAGATTTCAATTCAAAAAATACTTGTAAAAATTTACAAGTAGAATTCGTTACATTTATATATATATATATATGTACACGCATAGTTTCCGCACAAACATCCTGCGAATGGCTCGTATCGGCCTTATTTGATTCCTGTTAACAATTTCACGAGCGTTAAGTCTTTTCAAATAATTTGGTTGTACCATACGCATGATAAACGCGCTTACTCTGTGTCTGAAGCTAAACAACGCCAATCCCAGGTATGCAAAAACACAGGTTTCAGCTATAAAAGCTAACGTTCGCATTGTTTGCTGCATCGTTATCTGCGTGACAGTCGATAGATTGAAATGCGTGTAATGTGACATAACTATTCCGTTGAACAAGATTGCCATAATTCCTGTAACAAACGTGTAAACATATATAAGGTACAAAAATTTATTTATATTATAAAACACAAATTTCTCTCTTTACGATTATCAATTAAATGTTTACCTGACAATTGTATGCCTTCCGCTAATACGTATGGAGCATACGTGAATACCAACATTATACCAAACTCCAAAGATGGATTTTTCCTTAGATCTACGTGCTTCAACAACAGCGCGCTTATCAGAGCGAATACCACACCGATGCCCGCCGAGGCGAAGAACATGAGACAAAATCGATTCAATCCGAGTATAATAGCCTCGCTGGTCGTTGCCGCGTTGTTGGATTCCAATACGGAAGTTGTCAATACGATAGAAATAGCGTCGTTTAAGATCGACTCTCCAAAAACTAACATATTCAAAACCGGATCGACATCCAAGGCGTGAAATATCGCCACCGTGGCGACGGGATCAACCGCCGATATCAGCGATCCGAAGGCGAAACTCTCAACGAAGCTTAGTTTGTACGCTACCTGCGCCAGACCTAACAAATATATCCCGGCGCCAATGACGAACGCCGATATGGCTGTTCCAAATATGGCAAATACCAAGATACTGCCGATGTTCTGAAAGAAGTTTCCTTTGTGCAGATTGTATCCTGACTCAAATATAATGGGTGGAAGTAGAACTAGGAAAAACGCCGTGGGCGAAAATGCCTCTTCTTTTCGCCAGTTTGCTATGTTCTGATGGGACATGAGATTTATAATCATACCGATCGCGGCACCTAAGAAAACTATCACTACCGATTCGGGCAGATACTGAAAATTGAACTGCAGCATCAGGTGTATCAGCAGTATGCCCAACGCTAAGACGCACAAAACGAAGAATATGGACATGGAACTGTTGTGTTCCTCCTCGGCAGAGCCTTTGTCGGGTAGAACCGGTTCCGCTGGCACGACGGTGGTCGTGCTGGTGTTGGTCGAATTGTTGTTGGCAACATCCGGGCTAGCTGACGATACCGAGATGTCTGTTGTCGCATTCTTATCGCCGATAGGAATCGGTGAAACCGTGTTGATGAGTTTGTCGGTTATCCGATCGCTCACGACACCGATGTTGTCAGGCTCTTCTGTGCGCGCAGACGTGACAGCCGGTTTCAAGGTCGTCGAACTGACACTCTGAACAACGTTGTTTGTATTGTTTGTAGGTCGCGATGTGCTCGATAATTCTGTAATACTGATATTAGCCGCGACACTCGTAGCATTCGGACTGTCTGTTGTGACAACGGGCGTGATCTTGATGTCAGTGACATTTTCGATTTTGAGGTTAACAACCTCGTCCCCGCTTGACACATGTTGCGACACATCGTACAGCAGTAAGATTCCGATGATAAGATTCCACTTGCACAATGGAAACAGATGTGATCGACACATTTTCATAATTTAACGGCAAAGACGTAGGTACTAAAAATTATTTCTAAAACACGGCAAAGCATTACTTTGCAAATAACGACAGGTACACAACGCGTCACTGAATCGCGGAATAGGCGCGGGGATCGGGGGGCAAGCGGGGCGGTTGCTCGTAGCGCCAATGAGCGCCGTGCGAACTAACTAGTAGCAATCGGTTGTCCACAACTACGTCGTGTCGATAATGTAACTGCTCTTCCCTTTGACTATATAAGTATGGACTGCTAGTTCCCCCCACTTTTCCCATTTAAGCAATGTATAAGTAGCGTAGGTAACATAGATAAGAAATAGGCACCGCCTTTGAGCCAAAAAGCGGGAAATTCAAATATAGTTCGAGAAAGTAAGTAAGGTAAAAAATGTAAATGTGAAACACAATTACTTGTACAAACAAATTTAATATAATTTAAATAGAATTTGCCATAAATAATAATAATAATAATAATAATAATATTACCATATATTAAA